TCTTTCACATTTATGAGTTTATGGTTATGGTTTGGTGGTGAAAGTGGATTTTCGATCCATAAGGATTATGAGTCTAAATTTATTGACTCAAATAGAGTTAATGAAAGTAGATTAGAGTATATAAACCTAGTATAATAAATTTTTGGTGTCTTGGGTGTTGGGCACTATTAATATCTAAAAATTTCATTAATTATAGGTGGTTGGAAGATTGTGATGCCATTAATGAGAGTTTAATGGTTCATTAATGTTATTAGGGACTAAATGTAATTAATAAACCAAGGGATAGGCTCAAACTCTTATGGAGTGAATATTGGACAATTTAAAAGTGGAGATTGAGGGATTAATGGTTGAGTTGGTAATGTTGATGAAATTCAACTTGGTTGATTATAATCTTGGCTCTTGGTCACCCATTTGGCTTGAAAATTCAAGCTTGAAAGCTATAACATTAAGGGATAAACCTTTGACCTCTCAAAGGTTTGAAGTAACCGGGGAAACCCTACTTTAGGTAGTTATATGTTAATTGATTATTAAATATGAATTATGAATGTTACATGCATGGGATTAATTTTTAATGTGAAACCACGTATTGGTTTTAATGAGTGTATGAAAATTTGCATGTGCATAATGCTATTTTTGGCTTGAAATGAAAAATGTGAAGTCAAGAGGGTTTTCAAACTATGAACATGCTTATGCTTTTGAAAAATTGAATGTGATGTTTTGTAGAGGTAATTATATGTTAATGAGAAGTAAATTTTCAGATAAGTGAGAATAATATTGAGAAAATGATGAGGATACATATTTGAGTAGCGCATGATCGTGAACCTAACGGGATTGTTATGATAATGAGTAAATGAAAATGAAAATGTGAAAACGAGTGAGTACCATTTATGGCATGATCAGTGGGCAAGAGTTCGCTTAGGGATAGGGAGTAGAGATAATCTATATGATATTTAGGTTGCCCTCCGATGTATAGGGGTATTGCCTTGTCCCACAATTTGTCGATAGACTGTCCCATAATTTTTTGAGGGACTAGAACTTAGCTATCTCCACCGATTCAATAAGGAGAATAGTCTAGGGTATGAGACACCTTAGAGATTCTGAAAATGGAGGAAGTCGTGGTCCGAGAGTGAGTCATGTGATTTTTGGCCAGGTCACACCTCACGATTGGTGAGCTTAGGTAGTCCAATCACACGAATGGAGCCCTAATCAGTGTTATAGCCACGATTTTAGTGTGAAAAAAATAAGGAGAATATAAAGTTGGTTGATCATTACCTAAATAAATATATGATGTGTCACATGTGTTGAATTATGGCAAGTCGCATGAATAAAGGGTCATGGTCATAGATATAAGAATATGGTGACAATGTGCCTAGTATATGTGAGACAAAGACATTACAAAATGAGCAAATGATGAGTTATAATGTGTATAACCATGTTTTGTGTACTTGGTTTTATATGCAAGTGCTTGTTTTAAAATTAATATATAACTGCATATAGTAGGTTTTACTTTGGTTATTGAGTGGCTAAACTTACCCTTTTCCTTTAACACTTTTCAGCCTCTAACTCTGGTGTTGAGAGGAAGAAGACTTAAGAGGTTAGGAATTAGCATATTCCTATTGTATGCCTCTAGTTTAGATTTATTTGTGTAATAGTATATGTTTACCAATTATAGGTTAAATGCCATTACACTTGCACTATTTTGTTATTGGAAATATCTGATTTGTATTTTAGGCCCTAAGCATTTGTGTATGTTGAGATATATATATGTTTATAGGGCTAAAATACTAGTATAAATGTAAAAATGATGAATTGAATATGTTTTGATTGGATTGGGTGTAATGTAATGCCAATTTGCCTCTCCCTTTATTTTTGGTAAAAGCGGGTTGAGGAGTGAATTTCTGTTATACTATGGTTTAAGCGTGGGTGATGTGTTGTATTGATAGTTCTAAGTCCTTGTAACAGCCCTCCTTTCACCCCGCCTCCCCAAGGTCTTTTGCGACGCTGAACACTCTCCCCCCAGGCCCTACAACAGGGCAACCCCACCCCTTACGGTGAGCATCAGGAGACAAAGGCTTCCCCGCAGTAGTGTGCAGGATTATTCCCCTTGCGGAGAGCCTTCCCAGGTTCGATCCTCCAACCTCTCCTACATAACAAAGTTGAGGCTGAACCTGGTACCATATCAACTTTGTTATGTAGGAGAGGTTGGAGGATCGAACCTGGGAAGGCTCTCCGCAAGGGAAATAATCTGCACACTACTGCGGGAAAGCCTTTGTCTCCTGATGCTCACCGTAAGGGGTGGGGTCGCCCTGTTGTGGGGCCTGGGGGAGAGTGTCCAACGCTGCAAATGACCTCGGGGAGGCGGGGTGAGCGAAGGGCTATTACAGTCTTTGTGTGACTTGTTTTGAAAGTGAAACCTATGCCATTAGCTAGTTCATGTAAAGAGCTTTCTGTTGACATTTATATCACATTATTGGGATGTCGGATGGAGAATCAGGGCGCGTTGAAAGTTCCTCAATTCTGTTGTTAAATGACATCAAAATCTGTTGAATTTTCATGTAATATGTTGTGGCGCATTGCTTTGTATTACAGCACAAGTTTTGTTTTTTAATCGTTTTTGAATTCTTTCACTCCTCTGAGGTATCCCATGCTTCTGAAACTTATTTTTACTTTGGTATAAAGAATTTTGATTGATTTAAACTCATTTTTATTTAGAAAACTTGGGATCCCTTGAATTTGAACTAAAACTTAGTAATCACCTTTTGGAGTTAAGTTTTTAATTACTATGAGCTATATTGGTTAATTGTGTTTAATGAAGTGAGATACTATACTACTCACGCAATAGTTTAAGGTTTGTGATGGTAATTAAAAACGACACCTCAACAAGGGATTGTTAAATTGGCACTTTGACTAGGCCTCATTAAGTGAACAATAACAACGTTAATAGTGAGTTAATGATAGTGTTTAATTTGCTATGAATTTAAAAGTGTAAGGTTTGTTTTGTGTATTTTGAGAGTTCAAAATTTAGGGCGCTTTTTGCACAATATTTCAAGGTCTATTTCACTTAATAACCCTATTTTTAATCAATTAGAATAGAACAAATTATCAATAATCAATCATTATATGTTTTTTTTTTTACAAAATGTCAATTATTTATAAACAGTGATAGAATTTGATACATATAACCTACTTTTGGATGCATTTTTTATGTACGACTTGAATTAAGATGCATTTTTTGTTATTTTTTAATACTAAAATACACCCACGGATTAATATTCCAAGTTTTCAGTGATAAATTTAAATTTAAATAGAGCAAGAGGAATCAGAATCACCTCTACCACTGTATGATTCATATAAACTATAAAATTGTTTTATCTAAAAAATAGAGAGTAAAAATTGTTTACACAAACCCCTCATCTCTTTTCAAAACTTGCATTTCAGTGTAATTTTAAATTTAAATGTTGTTTGGAATATTTTATTAAAATTCTAAAATACTTAATTTATTATTTATAATTATACTGAAAAATTTAACCTTATTAATTTTCTTATGATCTAATTTTTTACTCTTCTCCCAACTTAAAGAAATTCGAATAATTAAGTATGATAATATTTAAATAAATAATTTAAAACACATTGGGTTAACATTGATAAGATTTTTAAAAATACATAAAAATTAAATCGACTAATTTATATATTATCATATTTTCATTAAGTTTTTTTGGTATGGACTTGAAATATTACTTTAATCAGCTTACATATTTAAATTATTTTAAAAAATTATTAAGTAAATAAGTTTACATAACAAAAAATTTAAAATATAAAAAAATAGTGGAAATATATGCATTAGATTTTCGTTGTATGACTTGAATGAATTAAAAAAAAACTAAAAATTTATTTTGATTCAATACATATAAGTTAATGGTTAAGTGAATAAAAGTATAATTTTAAAATTAGAAGTGATATTTGTATTATGTGACTATTACTTTTAAAGAGATTTGTATATGTTTTAAAAATAGAAGAGCAATGTCAACAATTAAAATAAATAGATGGGTGTATATTTCGCTCAGAAATAAAAGTCACTCATTGGGAGAGTTTTGCTGCCAACGTAGTTGCACCCGACTTGACTCATAAATAATAGATAATTATATAAAAAAATATAAAAACCTATTTATTAAATTATGAATATAAATATGATGAATACCACTATGACTAATAAAGAGTATATTCTTTGGTAAAAAAAGAATAAAGAGTATTCATTCCATTAAAAAATATAAGATATTTTTTAAAGTGATATATTAAAAAATATAAAATATTTTGGTCTTTTTTAAGTTGTAATTAATGAGTTTTTTTAAAATATAATTAAAAATGTAACAACTAATATTTTTTATGAAAAATTAATCATTTGCTTATTGAAGTTTTGATTCAATTGTAACTCAATTTTTTAACTTTGACTTGTTATAATTTAAGTTTTAAAGTTTTAACTCGATTATAAATCAATCCCTGAACTTTACCTCTTGCAATTTAGTTCCTCAAGTTTAAAACATTTTTAATTTTTATAATTTTATTTTTTTAAATATATGGATAAATATTTAAAAGATTGAAACTTAAGGAATTAAATTGTAATTTAGAGACTAATTTAAAATCATGTCAAAATTTCAGGGACTGAATTATGATAAATCAAAGTTTAAGAATTGAGTTGTAATTAAATCAAAACTATAAAGACCAAATGATTAATTTTTTTATTTTTTAATTAAAAAACCTTATTACAATAAAAATTAATATAAAAAATATAAATTTTAAAATAACTAACTAACTAATTAATTAATTTATTAAATAATATAATTTGATTAAAAATATTTTATAATATTATTCCAATTCATGAGATCATGGTAGCTTGACGGGCAGGCGATAAATAGTTAAACGGGTGCCCATTCGGACCGAAACCCATGGATTTGGCAATTGCCACCGAAACCTCAAACCCCCTGAAGTAGCTGAGTTAAAAAAATAGCCTCAAAATCATCGCCAGTTCGCTACTCAACGAGCCGAGTCCTCCTTCACTGTATAACTGAAGAGGCCTCAAAGCTCCCCAGAAATGATCCCCGCAAAACCCTAACCAAACAATATAGGTGATGAATGTTCACAAGCACTAACCCCTAATTCTCAAGGACTGTTCATTCAGAATGATAGATGGTTGTGATCATGCAGCAGCAGCAGAATCCCTCTGCACTGGTGCCACAGCTCAACAACAATCCTCAGTCCTCGTCTGCCACTGCCACGTCCTCCTCCTCCCTTAGGTCACCGACTTCTGCAGCACCTCCACCCCTGTCCCAGTTATCTTCCCCACTCCCTCTTGTTGCTTCTCCCTCCGCCCCCCTCCGCCAGACTCATCTGCCATCACTGCCACCCGATCATGTAATTGGACCAGTGGTGCCCATAGCTGCCACCCACCCTTCTGGTGAGCCCGCTTTGACAGCGCCACCCGCCTGCCCGTTGCCTAAAGTCCGGCTCTCGGATATTGCCCAATATGACGGAGCTCCATCTGGGTCCTATGTCAGAGCAGTAGAAGCACTGTCTGGGTCTTTGATGAGGCATAATGCAGTCTTGATCGAATTGGGCAGCGAGGATGCTGCTCTGATGAGGTGCGGGTTGGAAGGTTCGAGATTGTTCTTTCGGAGCAGGGCTCATCTGGCTGGTGGGAAGGGAAGCCGTGGGGTTCACATGTACAGGGCAGGAAGGTATGGTGACCATGGGCTTACATAATTCTCTGTTAACACACGTGTAAAATTCGTCATGTTTTTCTTTCTCTCTTTCTTATTCTGGTTAGAGTTATAATGCCCTCCCTTTATAGAACCTGGAACCTTGGCGAATTGCTCGATGGTTGTATTCAATTCATTGGACTTATCTTGGCGTTTCCCTCGAATTTTCCTTATATAGCTAATAGCAGGGCTGCATCGCTTCTTTCAATTGAAACTTGTCTTCTTGTAAATTGTTGTTATTGCTCGTTTTATACCTTGGTCATTAGTGTTTTACTGTCAGGGAGTTATGCATTTGTTTTACATATTTTTATCTTTACATGCATCTTTATCTGAAATAGGTAAGACCTTTGTTGTTTTGAAATTATATTCTTCTTTTTTTTTTCATTCCATGGTGGAGTGGGGAAGGGAGAGGATTTGAAGGCTTCGACATCTTTAATTTGGGCTGGATGATGTTTGCTGTCATTGCTATTGTTATTCCTATAATATTTCTGCCTGATCTTTTTTAGGGCTTTGGAAGACTCGGATTCATCTCCCCCATGTATGGCTGATATTTTTAGGTGCATGGGAAAGGCAGCTCGTTCTACTTTGTGTGCCCTTGCAAGGCATCTTCATCTTCGAAGCGAGTAAGGATGGTGATGGTGGATCCTCTTTCTAGTTTACATGTATCACATATCTGAGCATAATGTATTTTGATTATGTGTTCACAAAAACTTACTTGGTGCAGTGTTTTTAACCATTTGCTTGATGATACCCCATTGCCTGCTAATGAGGTCTCCTCCTCAGTTCTTGTTGCAACCTACTCACATGCTTCTTTGCCAAATGGAAAAGGTGCTATTGGAGGTGGTAAGCCAACCGTGAATGGTGAAATTGAGAAGGGTTTGTTGACATTGATATCCTCAGACGCTCCTGGTCTTCAGGTATCTTTTAGTTTTTTTTTTTTTAAATGTAAAAGCTGAGAGTTCAAGTGTGTGTGTCTCACCTAAAAAAAAAAAAAAAAATCTTCTTGTCTGTTCTAGTTCATTGAGTTGTGTGCTATTAGTTGAATAACTGCAGAGTATTCTATATTTTCTTTAGGTTTGTGACCCCAATGGCCGCTGGTATCTGGCAGATAGTGGGTCTGGTCCTGGGGATCTTTTATTGCTTACAGGCAAGGCACTTAGTCAAGCTACTGCAGGGCTTCGTCCTGCGGCATCATATAAAGCTTCTCCTGATTATTTTTTAGGTTCTAACAGTGGAGGAAGGTGCAGAATATATTTTTTATGCTTTTCTTGTTTTTTTGATATATTACATTTTGAATAAAAATATGATTATTATAAAATTAAATTTCAAGCAATTTATTTCGGGTTCTCTTTGAGCTTTGTGCTTGTAGGACATCTCTTGCATTTAGACTCATGCCACAGGGCAATGCTATATTAGATTGTTCTCCCATTGCAGCAGCTGGACATATCATTCCCCAAAGCTATGTTCCAATATCAGTAAGCCAATTTATGGATGATCTTTCTGCTGAAGAAGAAGCAATAGGCAGCCGATCTTATCAGACTTATGTAAGATCTCTTTCCTAATCTCCAGATTGTGTCTTTGGGCAAGGGCTTGTTGCTTTGCTTCGATATCCATCAAAAGCTAAATGACTTGACAACTTATGTGCCAATTTAGGTTCTCTTTCCTAGTAACATCTAGATTGTGTCTTTGGGGGAGGGCTCATTTCCCTACTTGGTATCTATCAAAACCTAAATGGCTTTACAACTTTTCGTGCCAGTTTAGGTTTCTGTTGAAAAGATTTTGAAAAAAACACAAATTCCTTTGTAACGGATGGATCGCATTGGACCCAGCTTTTCAGCTTGGACACTTTCCTGAACTGCAGAATTACCTGGCATAAATTTCTGCAATTCTGCTGCTGGGTTTTGCCTGAATCAACCATTACTTGTATTGTTGGATTTGTGACTTGTTGAAATATGTTATGTAGTTTCTTTCAAAGCTTGTCAGATTACACTGTCTGGCTTGTGCCACTGAAGCATTCAGATATTATTTTTCAACATATGTCAGGCTCATCAGCTAAGCTCTTATGTGTCTAGTGGCTTTAAAATTTGTATACACCTTCCTTTCTGTGAAACTTTTTTGTCATTTAGGGGTTAAACTTGTGCATTTTTAACTCACAGGTTGCTGGAAACAATGTAAATAAGGAACAATCATTGAGAAGTGTTCTGTCAGATCCTTTGTCGTAAGTTTAATTTCAAATCTTGAATTAGCTGTTTGTCTTTCTATGACAAAGGACCCTGTCACATGTAAAAGAGCTTTTTCTTTCTTTTCTTCCCCAAGATTACAAAGAAAAATGCATACTTTAGCATGTACGAAGATCCTTCTGTGTTCTGATGTATCTATTAATTTCCTCTTTCAATTTGCTCACTAGTGGCGCATTCCTTGAAGATGCCATGCTTATCTCATGTGGGCATTCATTTGGTGGTCTCATGCTAAGGAGAGTCATCGAAACTGTAAGTTGTATATCCGTCTCATCAAAACCATCGAGTTCTTGTTATGGATATAGGTTATGGATAAGTTATGTTGTGTCTGAAGCAAAACGAGACCAAGACAACCTATTACAGACCATGAAAAGCATTCATGTCCCCAACCACTGGCCATCATAACCTCTAAATGACTAGAGCAACATCTTATGTACCAAATTGCCAAAGCCTCAGTCTGGCGGAGGTCAGAGAACAAACAGAAGGGTCTACCTGAGAGATGATTTTCTATGTGCTTCCATGAAATGCATTTATGTTCCCTACCGCTGGCCATCATAAATACTAAACAACTAGAGCAATGTCTTTTTTTACCAAATTGCCAAAGCCCCAGTCTGGATCCTTTTTATTCTTACAACACACTTCCACTTGACATGAAGTGGAGGACAAATGGAAGGGATATGTTCGAGGGCTATGCTTTTACCAGCAGAAGGTTCCATCTTTTGTAGGCTTGATCACTTTCTGACAAGCCAACTGACCTATTCTACTCTATCTATCCAAAATTACCAGGATATATTCTTGATTCTCTCAGCTATGCTTATAGGGATTTTGAACAAGGAGAGATTGCAAATAGGTATATTGGATAAGGCAGGATAATTGACTCAGTGATCAAAGAAAGAGAGGCACCCTTAAAATTATTAACTTCTTTTCTATCATTTGAATCATAGGATCCCAAAAAGGAGAAATATGAGTCAAAAGTTCTTCTCCCCTAGAGATAAATGAACAACCAAAAATGTATGGGCCTTCTTTATCTTTTTTTGTGAAAAAGGGGGGCATTGTGAAGCAGCACAATTACCCATCATAACTATATGGCAGGCAACGGATTTTCATTGTTGATTTATGCCTACCCACACTTAGAGGTTAATTGTTAGTGTAGAGCCTGAAACCACCTCAGAGACTTGAAGCAAGGACTATGCATGCAAGAGGTTAGGCAAAGTTTGGTTTAAAAGAAAGATTTTTAATGGAATGGAGATGGGAATTGAGAAATTGTGTTGGGTATGCATCATGGAGAAAAGGATATATTTTTACAAGTGATGTTTGGTAGGATAGAAATAATAATGAAATTGAGATAAGTAGAGTCTAAAAGACAAATACCCTGCAAAATAAAAATATTAAAAAAAAACCACATTATTTTAACCCAAGCCTCAAGTTTTCTTCTATGTCTGTCATACACTGGTCAAACCGTTCCTGTGCAGCTAAAAACTGCAAAAAAATTGAGAGTAAAAAGACAAGAAAATTAAGAGTCAACCGGAGGATTTCAATGGAGAATATAGCAGAGTTGGAGCAGTTTAAGCATTCCGACTTTTGCCTTTGCATTCCAGGATGAATAGTGAGATTCCATCTCTTCATTAATGGAATCCATTGGCACCTGAAATGATTCTCTTGGAATGGCAGCTGTCACCATTCCATCAAACCAAACATGGCCTTAGTATTGTTAGTAGGTAGAAAGAGATTAAGGCTCTCCAACAAATGACAAGTGCAAGACTTCTGCTCTAGCATAACAACTGGCTTTTGCACAACTTGGTGCTCACACTTCTATCAAATATACAGCTGAAATGGGAGCATGCACAACAAGGGTATACGAAAAAAAAGTTGAAGGATCACGTTGGCTAACTTTTGTTGACCTCTAAACTAATACAATGGCCCGCCATTGATAATATTGGAGAGCATGCCAGAATAATGATTCTCTTGATCTCCAATTAACCTATTTTAAAATAATTACCAAAGGGAAACAAATTAATGGCAAGCTATTTGGGTGAATTCAAAATTTTAGCAAAAGGACGTAGGAAAGTGTATTCTCTCTTCTTAAATTGCAATCATAATCATTTGTACTCCTTGGAGCATATTTGTTGGAGGAATCTAAGGGGCAAGATTCCTTGTATATCTTGAAAAGCAAAATTCCTGGCCTTGAAACCATACACTACGTTTTGCTATTTAATCTGATACTAGATCGAGTCCAAAAATTCATTAGGCACAGATCAGCATAATATTCTTTTGGGCCTATAAATATTAGCTTGAGTTTGTTCAGCTCCCTGGATCCAGGCCCTGTTTTCTCAACTTGAACTGTTGGAATTCCATGCATACAGTAAATTTCTAGTTAATTTTGATACTTTTTTTTTTAAATTCATGTACCTGTCTCCATTTTGGTTGTACTTGTTTTGTCTCATTTATATAACCTTTCTACTATGGAATTATAACTTTTAGATGGGGGAGACAAGAATCATAATTACAATTATTGTTTCCGTCACAGTCAAGATGTCCTCTCTGCAATGCAAATATTGAGGCCAGTTCTCTGATCCCCAATTTTGGTACCTCCCATTTACTTATTTCCTTATCATCTTTATTCTCTGTTTATTCAATATCCGCACACTGCTATAGACTCCTTATTTCTGGTTGGTGCGCATCTTTTCTGATGCTATTTCTTCTTGTCATTTAACTTTGTCTTGGTTAATTTTATTTATTCTTGAGATAGACTGATTTCCTCCACAGCTCTAAGAGCAGCAGCCACAGCAGTCAAGCATGAGGATGATCGAAGGTTGTTTCATAATGCTGTTCTCCGAAAGCGCCGGAAAGAAATGGGTGATCAAATGGATTCACTGAGAAGAACAAACAGGGTATATTACATGACTAGCTTGCAACTGTTGTTATGCTGAATCTTAGCATGTTGTCTGTGATGGAATATGTGACAAATGTCATTTTCTCTTCAACTTAAATATTGCTTCTATGGAAGCAAGATGATGGATTTGCTTTGGGAAAATTAATCTATAGGTCTTTATAGTTTTTTTCAATTTTGAATTAGGTCCCTGTGTTTTTTTTTTGTTTTAATCAAACACTTTTAATTTGATCCATTAGATATGCTAATTCTTGAAGGTTAAAATTATTAATGAATGATAAACTTTTTCAAAGCAAAAACGCTTTTGAAGTTTATAGAAAATTTGATTTAATACTTTTGGCTAAAAAAGAAAAAAATTGATTTAATACAATGTTTTCATTTTTATTAATTTTTTATGAAATTCTATATGTGTCAAAATCATTTAGAAGGAATAACTTAATTATATAAATTTTCAGTTATAAAAATCATGTAATTAATTGTAAAGTTATGTAATCTTTAAGACTAAAATATACATTACTCCCTTGAACTTTAGGTTATGAAAATGACTTCTTTAACCTTGTAACCTTAAGAAGAACCTCCCCTGACCTTTTATCTATAAGGCAAAACCTCCATCTGTTAGAAAAACCGTTAAATCATGAACAAGAATTGCTACATGGGATCTAACTTGGTGAAATGTCATGTATGATGTGGCTTTAATAGCACTTGTATTTTTTTGGGACAATAATAATTTCCCTTCGAAATGCAAGGGCATTTGTATCATTTTACTATTTTAGACATGTGAAGCACCTTGAGGATAATACGATGAATACAATTGTGGAAGTCAATGTGAAAGTCAGGCTGTTGATAATTGGTTTGGTATAAGGCTGGGTATTAAGAGTTGGGATCTGACTTTTTTTCTAAGAAGAAATTCTACTTGGAAGATGTTGAAAGTTTTCTATGTTTTTTCTATTTGTTCAAATACTAATACCCTTTTCCTTCTTTGTTTGAGTTAAATGAGAGTGATATATAGCCAAACAAAGATCAATATAGAGAAAAGAAAGTGAATGAATTAGAGGATTTCCACCTCTTTTAGTGTTGTGAAGAAAATGGAGTTCCACTGTCATGAACATTGGTGGATGTAAGCAGAGAAAGAAAAATGATGAGCCGAATTTTGGTGGGATTAATGATAATATTTAGTTTTGAATTAAAAAAGGGAAGGATTTATTTGTTTTCATGAAATGTCATAAATGACCTTAAAGCCATGTCAAATGACACTTCGCTAAGTTAAATATGCATGATGTGGCATTTCATGTTAATGATTTAACCCTTCAGTTAGTATAAGGAGGTTTTATCCTGCCATATAAAAGGATAAGGAGAGTTTCTTGCTACGTTTAAGGTACTTGCATATTTTAGCCATCTTTCAATTAAAAAAATAACAGTTCTTAATTTCATATTTTTAAAAGAAACATTTAAGGATTTTAATCTTAAGAGATTAATAAATCTAACGGGTTAAACTATAAGGAGTCGATTAAAGGAAAATAAACTACATGGATCTAATTCAAAATTGAGGGAAACTATAAGGACCTATAGATTAATTTTCTCATTTCCTTTTTTTTTTATGGGTATTACATTTTTTAAAAGTAAGCTTTCCATTGGATACAGTCTCCTAGAATTGCCATGGACCCCTAAAATCTTTTTAAAACTGCTACTTTTATTTTCACATGTATGGTATTAGAGTGGCAGTACTGCATGTAACATAAGTATTCATTTACAATTTGGCATGTCTTCTGAATAAACCATTTCTCAGCAATTTAGAGATTGAATTTCCAGCTGAGAAACTTATGCGCATTTACCTATTTTTTGACCTGAAATGCACGTTTACCTTGATTGTTCAGGAAAATGGAGATGTTACTGGTGATGATGGACCCCACCGAGGAGTACAGTATCCTTTTTCAGTAAATGAGAAGGTTATAATTAAGGTGAGGTGTCTATTTATTTATTTATGATGTCAATTTTGGGCTATGCACTGTGTCAGTTTATCTGAGACATTGTGGATAAATTTCCACCTTCTACAGGGTAATAGGAGGACACCAGAAAAATTCGTTGGCAAAGAAGCTGTTATTACATCTCAGTGTCTGAATGGCTGGTGAGTACCATTTTTTTAGGTAAAAGATGAATTATAGGGAGACAATTTTCATGTACATAAGTTAGTAGCATTTCTTGTGCTTGGGTAGCTTTCATCATGGCATGTTCGATTAATGGGGTGGAAAGTTATGTCTCTTTGGTATTCTACAGTTATGCCGCTTGCAGAAGTCAGTGTAAAAGCAGAAGGGAAAGTCAGTCAAAAGAACCCAATTCATTGTTTGAAATCCCATGGCCCGGAGAGGATAAGGTGTTTAGTTAGTTTATTCATGTGAAATCTAAAACAATGCTTGTTTTCATGATTGCGATCCAAGATAAAGATACATTATGTGTGTGTGTGTGTTTTTTGTTTGGGTGGGCATGTGAATGAGGTCAAGGCAGAGTGGGAGAATGAAAAAATCATTTAAAAAAAGATTAATTGATGGTTCAGAACTTTCAGATTAATTGAATCATTTACTCCCTCTGGGATGTTTGAAGTTCTAAGATACTTGTCAAAGCAAATACAGACTTTCCAAGCTTCCCAAATGAAGTTTCGTGGGATTGGGAGGAGATCTGGAGTCTAGAGTGAAGAGGGAACTCCAACATTCATTTATTACTGCTACTATCATTTGTCGTTGTACTGATATTGCCTTCATAAGTTTGTGCCAAATATTTACTCAGAGACAGGCTTGGCCAACAAACATCTCTGGCGCCAAGTTGGGGAAGATGGTTAATAGTGACTTTTCAACATGCGCATTCTACATGTTAAATTTGGGAAATTTATCATAATTCTTCTAAACATGCTTTTGCATGTTGCCGTGTATGCCTGTAATGAAAGGCATGTTGACATAAAAGGTCATTCATGCAGGTACTTGCTTAAGATCATTGGAAGTGGGGAGAATCTGCGCTTGCAATACCGATCTCTTAGGAAGCTTTTGAACTCACCAGCGATAGAGGACCAGTCGCAGCCAATTCAAAATAGCAGCTCTTAAAATATCTCCCCGACCTCCTGTGTTCTGTCTTTTATTATTCAGCAAGGAAAGGAGACTTTGTAGTCGCGATACCTGATAGAATATATAATTAGTTGATTTGTCCGATTTCTGTTAGCAAGCATGTAACTTAGTGTATCAGAAGAGGTGATTGGTGCAGATGCCTATGCTAGCATTTTTGACATCTTGGCTTGCTGTAAAGAGAAGGCAAAGCTGGCTTAGATGGCATGTAAATTTTACGTATCTATAACTGAATTGGATAAGTAATTCTATTATTTTTCCCCATAATTGAGTTTCATTATCATTCTTTTGCTGTGCTGTATTTGGCTTGACAGCTCTCGCCTGTGACTCCAGTGGAGGTTCGATTTAATGCATAATCAAACCGCTTCTAGATCTCTTTTGGCTGCTCCCCAACGCCCCGCGACTACCCCCCCCCCCCCCCCCCCAAAATCAATGTATCCCTGATCATGCAGCATCAACGTGCTCCAACTCTTCTGTCCCCGGTTCTGAACATGCTCATCTTAACAAGCCTACACTTCAATATCCTCTATTCCCCACACGGGGTGAGTCAATTGTATCGAAAGTCTGCTTTAAGACCAGATGCGCAATCCGAATGTTTTTTTTTTTTTTTTGACCCCAGATTTCTTTTAGCTGGGAAAACATCCAAGGTTTTCCTGAAATTATTATCACAATGCATGCGTAAAAAATAAAAAATGTTATTTTTTTAATTAATGTGACTTTTTATGTTACAATTATCTAATACTCTCTTACATTATATTTTATTTTTTGGTTGAATTTTTACGTGACTAAGCATGTGTCAAAAAAAATTCTAACATCAATGACTCTAGGAGTAGAATTGAAAAATATTGTTAATTGTCTATTGATATTATATATAATGAGACGTGCCCCCGCAAAACAACGTCATAAAGGGGAAGGGAAGTACTCTTTCATTGACCACACAATATATTGCATTTTTCAGAAGTTTTGTCAAAAAATAAGACATTAGTAGTTTTTATAATTATTTTTCTTACTATACTCTTAATTCATTTCTTATTCTTTTGGAAAAAAAAAATGATAAGGAGTAGATAATATTGTTGGAGGCAGCCTTGTTTATTTATTTTTGTAAATAGTTGAAAGGAAAAAAGGAAAGTTCAAAGGAACTCTACTTGATAATAGAGTTGGGAATAAGGTTTGATTTATAGACCTTATTTAAATAGGAGTTTGAAATTAAAAAATTAGAGTGTTTTTGGAAAACTAAACTTCGTGATTAGGCTTTAAAAAAAGGACTCAATCTTGGATCGCCATTCAAGTCGTATTTCTCTTCTTTTTCCCCCCCCGGTTCTAAATGCATCACTTGGCTTGGCACTTAAAAGAAAACCTTAAGTATACTTATGCCAATGCTGCACACTCTTCAACTCTGCATATCTACTCTCCCTCTTGGCCTCTCCTCCCTCTTGTCTCTTGATCTCGACAGAGGACACATTGTCTCTCACCTCTCGTCTAGCAATCTCTAATTCTCAACTTCAGGTGACTTTGTGGGTGCTTGATCACGATTCTCTTTCACATAGTCTTGCAATTTGCTCTCCCTCTCAACCTCTCCCTCACGATCTCAACTTCTCCCTCTCTCTCCTCTATCTTGGCCTCTGTCTTGATCTCGCCTTTGTCACAGTGCCGAGGTACCTTTAACTTGCATCATTGGAACTCAAAAGAGAAAGATGGGTTCAAATCTATTGTGAGTAATCATTATTTTCTTCCCTCACCTTTCATTCTTCATCTTTTGCTTCCATTTTTTCTTCTTTCTTTCTTTTTTTTCATCTTCTTCAAAGCTACCATTTTTTCTGAAACTAGAAAAAAATATGTGAAACTAAAAATGAATCAATTTAGGTATTGTGCTGTCAAAATAATTTATGTTGATTGTTTTGCCATTTATTTTAACATGATGTTAACAGACTTTTTACTAATTTTTTAAACACGATTAGTGTATAAGGCTTATTTCTTGGTTTAATTAATGCTATATTTTGTTATATTCAACTTTATATATACATATATATATATATATCGAATTTGATCAGGTTAATCTGAATTAAAAAATTTTATTTTCATTTTAAGATTTGATTAATATTCTATATTTAGATTTATATTTATTTATTTTATTAATTTTTTGTATTTTTTTTAAATAATATAAGCCTGAGGGCTCTATTAAATAGAGATCAGGCTTTAAAAACAAGCTATTTTTTAAAAAACCAGACCTAAGGCTGTGTCGATGCCGGCCTTCCATCTATAGTAGCGCGTGATGAATCTGAATCTCACACAGGCTTCCCGTCGTGGACACCTGTCTTGTTACGCGTGTAGCCGTGCAGCGGGAGTGCAGAGTCCACGACAGTCTCCTCAATCTCATTGTCTTCTTTGCTCTTCACCCTCTTCCTTGGCCTTCCTGGCTCCGAGCCCTAAACACCAAAGATCTGATTCCCCCCTATCCTCTATCTTCGTGCGCTGTCAGACTCCAGACTCGTCTCCCTGTCCTTCTGGGCACAATCTCTTCACCGTCTCACGTGGCTAGATTCTGCTGTGTGCCTGTTTGTGAGCTCTCCACCCTCTCGGTGATAGATTCTGTAGATTTTGATTATCTTATATTTTGTTGATGTGAATCGCTATTTAAAGTTGTCCCCCTCTTTTTATGGTTATCATATATACTCTTGGGTCGAAATGTGGGCTTGCCTTATCTTATGATTTCGAAGCAGGTAATGGTTATCATAAGAAAATACTGGGACTCTTTTCAGGTATTGGAATTAATCAATAGCAAATGCTTGGAGGCTAGTTAAACTTTGAATCTAAGAATAGAGGCAGAATAAGAATGATGGCCCAATTGGCTTTCAAATTGCCAATGTAACTTTTAAGGTTCGATCTCAGCTTGAGGATAGGTCTGAGCCCACACAAGCTTTTTTAGTGTTTACTAAGATAAAAGTTTTTTCTATAATCCTTGGTCATTAGAAAAGTTTGTTCGTGCAGAACTGTTGGCTTTGTTGGTCCAGAGAATGAAAACCAATGAGAAGAGTGGTAATTTGTTTTACTGAATTACTGTGTGCTTTTGTACACGTTTTAAATGCTGATGCTATCGTTTGTTTTTATTATCTGCTTGAAATTCTTGCTTTTTTTTCGTTTTGTACTAATCTTCTGTTTAGAAAATTCTTCCTCTTTATAGAAGTATTGACCAACTAACTGTTATCAACTCACCATTGTGTGCGGTATTATTATTGTCTTATGTCTTTGGGGTTTTCTTTTAGGTTTGAACTTGGATAAGGAAGTCTTGTATATAATGAGTACTCGAGCGCTCAGGGGTGCTGCTGTCAGAAGTTACCGGCGGAGGAAGACAGCTCTGGACTTGGATCTTAACCGGGATCCACCTGTTGAAAGTCGGGAGCTGGAGGGACCTTCAGCTCAGCTGGAGCCTCAAGCTGGCCTTCAACTGCAGGTTGCACAAGCACAACCTGCAATGATTGATGTTGAGGCCATTGATGATGATGTTGTTGAATCTACTCCCCGGGCTTTTGCTGAGGTATACCTGATCCCTTTCATGCACTTCATTGCTTCCGTACTTTCAGTCTTAATTAAAGATGATTTTTGGGGACTTAGCTTACCTGTTCATTTCTCTTTGGTTTTAGGCTAAAAACAATTCAAGGAGAAATCGCAGCAGGGCTATAGTTGATGTGGATTTAGGTACCATTTTCCCCTTCTGCCATCTTCTTGCCTAGTTTAGAAGCATCATGAAATATTTAGTTTCTTTCTTTGTTTTGAATTTTGATATTTGCTAAAATCCTTTTCCAATTGCCCTTTTCTTTTCTAATTTTGTTTGGATGCTGGCTGTTTGATGAGTTTGAATATTTCCATCTCGTACAAATATCACATATCACTCATCTCCTATTAGTAGCTTTCTTAGTGTTTTTCTTCTGTTTTCCTTGCGATAAATGTGGCATTATTGTAAAGAAGATAACGATTGTCAGGTAGAATAACCACATAAAGATTAGAATCTTCTCATAATCTATCCATTGTGCTGTTGAATAAGATCAAAATTTGTAGAGTTATTTGATAATTACAGTAGATTTTAGGTCAGCTAGGATAACCACATAAACTTTATCTCATAGTCCATCCATTAAACTTTCATATAAGATCAAGGTTGTAGGGATATTTGCAAATTATGCAAAATTCTTGCTAATTTACCAAAAGACTAAAACTTTTGGAATGCCTAAAACTTTTGGAATGAAGATTGGAGCTGCCTGCACTAGTTAAATGATTACAGTAGTTTTTTGGGTCAAAGTCACTGAATATGCAGAATGGATTCAAAAGTATTTTTCTATGCAGATTATGATGCACCTACATTGACTTTTAAATTTGGGGAAGTTTCATGTACTTAATCTGATCTATCTCATTTGCATTGTTCCATCTAAGATTGCACTTTTTTGTACGTGGTATGATCATCTCACTTAATGTGCATCTCGCTACAAACAAGTTGTCTTCATTTATTTTTCCACATTTATAGGTTTGGTTTGGTTTGTTTGCTTTCTTCAGACATAATCTTATTCCTTCTGCTCTACTATTGTATTATATTTTCATATTAATTTTCTAGACGTATTGCTCGTTATTAACTTGGTGGATGAAGTGATCAGCTGGGACTGGTTTGCAGTAGACCTGATCCATTTAAATGATCCTTATGTTTGTTGTTTTCATTGTTGGACCATTCTTTCAGAACTTTTTATAACTAACACTCATATTGTGAGTCTATGAAGAGTCTAAATATACTACTTGCATAGCTATTAAAATGTGTCAACTGTTGTAAATAATTTGTTCAAATTTTCTAATTGATAGGTGCTTCGTTTGAGTTCTTTTCACTTGTCTAATGTAAAGTTAGCTATGTGTCTTTTATCTTTGTTGATAGTTGCTAGCATCTGCATCTAATTAATGATTATTGCAGAAGATCGGACTAGGGTAACTAATAATAATCGCAACAAACGCAGAAGAGGTTCTCCAAGCCAAACAATTATTAACTGTGATCTTTATATAAACTTGGAAGGCAGTAGCGGTTCTATGGTAATAAATTCTCCTGCTACATTTTACATTTCCTTGGTTGCTATGTTTCTTGTTTCTTTGATCTGTAAAAGGAGCTAGCTGTCTGATGTATATCATTTGATTATGTGGCTTTATGTGGCTTGTTGTTGTTGTTGTTGTTGTTGTTTGATTAGTCTGTGTTATTACCTGTATCTTTTTGCTTTCTCAGCATTCAGTTATTTATTGTTGAATTTGCCACATCAGAGTTTTAATGGTCATTGCTGTGACCTGTATCCCGTTATTTGCCTGTGTTGGGACCAAGCTGTACCATTTTTTTAAAACAAACCATTTTATGTATATTATAATCCTTTGGCGGGTTGTTTGCAAGTGAAAGTTATCAAGTGTTATCAAATGGAACTAATGCTAACAAGGCAGTTTGAGATTGTTGATTGCAGTAAGGTGGTATTAACTATGAATGGTGCTTGTTTATATCACTGTTGCTAGTTGTTACAAGATCATTATATCAATATCACTGGAATTTCTTCATCCTTTTAAAATTGGGAAAACATAATCATCGGTCTTTATATTTTTATTGGGTTTTATTGGGTTTTACCGCGTCATTCTGGACGCACGCGGCTAAAGAAGTTAGTCCATAAGAGCAAAATTAGATTTGGTACTTGGAATGTTGGGACATTAAATTGTAAATCTGTAGAGGTTGTAGGGGTTATGATTCAAAGGAAAATCAATATCCTTTGCTTGCAAGAAACAAAATGGCGTGGAGAAGAAGCTAAGGATATTCAAGGTTTCAAACTTTGGTATACAGGAAAAGTAAGTGCACGCAATGGAGTAGGCATCATTATAGATAAGGAGTGGAAGAAGAACGTTGTAGAAGTTAGCAGAATTGGAGACAGAATTATTTCTTTAAAAATGATAATTGGACGTGAGACTGTTAATATTGTTAGCGCTTATGCGCCGCAAGTCGGGACAGAAGCCAGTCTTAAGGAATTATTTTGGGAGGATCTGGAGGGGTTGATTCGACACATACCACAGAGTGAAAAGATTTTTATTGGAGGAGACTTTAATGGGCATGTCGGGAGGGAAGCTGGTCAGTATGCGAGGGTGCATGGTGGTTTTGGTTTTGGAGAGCTAAACAATGAAGGACAAACTCTTCTTGATTTCTCATTGGCGTATGATTTTAAGATTGCCAACACTTGTTTCAAGAAGAGAGATGAGCATCTCACTTACAAAAGTGGAGCCTCAAGGTCGCAGATTGATTTTCTTTTGGTTAGGAACACAGATAGAAAACTTTGTAAAAATTGTAAGGTGATCCTCGGAGATGCTGTAACGACACAACATAGGGTCCTAGTGCTTGATGTGTGTATTATGAGTAAAATCCAAAAACGTCGACAAGTAGTAACACCAAGGATTAGGTGGTGGCAATTAAAAGGTGAGAAGCAAGATATTTTCAAGCGAAATCTTTTGGATAAAGGAATTTGGGATTCTCAGGGAAGTGCTAACATCATATGGGAGGATATGGCTAAAAAGATACGGGAGGTTGCAAAAGTAGTTTTGGGAGAATCGAAAGGTTTTGGTCCGAGAGATAAGGAGTCTTGGTGGTGGAATAATAGTGTACAGGACAAAATCAAGTATAAGAAGAACTGTTTTAAAGCCATACATTTGTGTAACAATGAGGAAAATTGGGAGAGGTACCGTATGGCTAAGAAGGAAACTAAGAGAGCTGTGGGTGAAGCTCGTTCTAAAGCTTTTGAAGAATTTTATAAGAACCTTGAGACTAAGGAAGGAGAGCAAAATATTTATAAGATTGCCAAGAGTAGGGAAAGAAAATCAAGAGATCTAGAACAGGTAAGGTGTATTAAGGATGAAGAGGGAAGAATTTTAGTTACAGATGATGAAATTAAAAATAGATGGGAGACTTATTTTTCTAAACTTTTCAATGATGGAGAGGATTCATCTAGTAACTTGGAGGATTTAGTAACTGGTGAAGGAGAACAAAATTTGTCATTCTATCGAAAAATACGTGATAAGGAGGTAAAGGAAGCTCTTAAGAAAATGGCAAATGGTAGAGCCAACGACCTGATTGTATATCTATTGAAGCATGGAAATGTTTAGGTGAAGAAGGGGTGAGATGGTTAACTAAGTTATTTAATGTGATTTTACGGTCCAAGAAAATGCCTGATGAGTGGAGGAGAAGTACATTAATTCCTATTTATAAAAATAAAGGAGATATTCAGAATTGTACTAACTATAGAGGGATTAAACTCATGAGCCACACAATGAAATTGTGGGAGAAAGTAATTGAGCACAGGTTGAGATTAGAGACAAGTATTTCTGAGAATCAATTTGGTTTTATGCCAGGTAGATCAACTACAGAGGCGATTTATCTACTAAGGGGATTAATGGAAAAGTATCGTTGTAAAGATAAAGATCTACACATGGTTTTTATTGATTTGGAAAAAGCTTATGACCGTATACCAAGAGAAGTGCTTTGGAAAGCGTTGGAAAAAAAGGGAGTACGGATTGCTTATATTAAAACCATACAAGATATGTATGAGGGGGTAAAAACTAGTATAAGAACGCCTAGTGGTCAAACAAAGGATTTTCCTATAAAGATTGGACTACATCAGGGATCATCTCTGAGTCCTTATTTGTTCAACTTGATTTTAAATGTTTTGACGGAACATATTCAAGAGGAAATCCCGAAATGTATGCTCTTCGCGGATGATATAGTTCTTATAGCAGAGACAAGAGAAGAGGTTAATTGCAAACTTGAGTTATGGAGGAGGACATTGGAGTCGAAAGGTTTTCGTCTGAGTAGAAGTAAGACAGAATATTTATATTGTAAATTTGGTAAAGGACTATTCGAAAATAATTTGGAAGTGAAATTGGGAGATCAAATTATACCTCAAGTGGAAAAGTTTAGATATTTGGGAGCCATTATTCAAAATGATGGCGAAATCAGTGGAGATATTTCACATAGAATTCAAGCTGGGTGGTTTAATTGGAGAAAAGCTAAAGGAGTTATTTGTGACCGTAAGGTGCCTAATAAACTTAAAGGAAAGTTTTATCGTACTGCTATCAGACCCGCAATGTTATATAGTAGTGAATGCTGGGCTCTAACGGGACAGCAAGAGCATAAAGTTGGAGTAGCAGAGATGAGAATGTTACGATGGATGTGCGGACATACACGTAAAGATAAAATTCGAAATGAGCACATACGTGAAAAAGTGAGGGTGGCACCTATTGAGGAAAAAATGGTAGAAAATCGGTTGAGATGGTTTGGGCATGTACAAAGAAGACCAAGGGAGGCACCAGTGAGAAGAGTGGAACATATAAGTTTGAGTCCGATTAAGAGAGGTAGAGGAAGGCCTAAGAGAACACTCTTGGAAGTTGTTGAACGTGATCTCTTAATTAATAATATTTCTAAAAGTTTGATAAATGATAGAGCACAATGGCGTCTTGCAATCCATGTAGCCGACCCCACCTAGTGGGATAAAGGCTTGTTGTTGTTGTTGTTGTTTACTTCTAGTCTTTGAAGGTTTTTTTTTTTTTTTTAAGTGTTCTCAGTTTTTATAGTTTCAGCAAGTTTGAATGACTTCATTTCTCAAGTCTCTATGGTTTCGGTCCTTGTAAGGACTGAAAATATGGAAAAAAAGTTACGAGAATTAAAAGCAAAATCTGATAAAATTATAGGGTCCAATAATTATGTTTTCCCTTTAAAATTAATGTTGATTTCCCTCACACACACAGTTTTCATAATTATGTGCTATTTTCATAATCTTTTCCCTTAAATTGCTTGAAAAACCATCATTATCATTGGCATCATGCTGCCGTAGCAGCAGGGGATCTGCGTTTTAACCCAATAGAATGAAATGTAAATTCTTAGTCCTTGGAACCATGCCATTAGCTCGAGCAAATAAGGAAATTATTCATAGCTGATTCTGGATGTGCGCTGGAGTTCAAAGCGCTGAATTGAATATTCAATTTGCAGAAAGAAAATGTTAGGAAGTCTCCTGAACCTCCGAAGGAGCCTGTTTTCAACTGCCCAATCTGTATGGGTCCTTTGGCGGAAGAAATGTCGACAAGGTGTGGTCATATTTTTTGCAAGAGTTGCATTAAGGCTGCGATAAATGCACAGGGTAAATGCCCTACCTGTAGGAAAAAGGTTACCGCGAAAGAGCTCATAAGGGTTTTTCTGCCATCAACTACTTGAAGGTATGGCCAAAACGACTGATTATAGAAAGATGACTGAAGTGCTTCCTTATCTTCTTGACTTGGTGAATGTAATAACTTGATCAAGAAAAGATTACCCGTAGTTAATGTATTTGTGGAATTTTTCCAGTCAATTCATTCCGGTGATGGCTGATGATTGCTGTTTTGTCGTACAACAGGGTGTTGAAGATAATACCTATTTCGTGCTATGAAGATCGCCGTAGCTTAGGTAGCTGTGCAGTTTCTAATATGTTCTTAATAGGATGACTAGTGATTATCAATATTATCTTTTGTTAAATCAGATGTTTGTCTTTGATTATTTTCTTAGTGGTCACATTCGATGCGAGATGTCATTTCCAGCTCGGTTTACCCCCCTGGGGCTTTAATATGCTGACCTGGTGGTGTACATGCGTGTATGTCAAATATTAAAAGGTAAAGAAGCCATATGAGATTTTGTGTGTTGCACATTAGCTGTTCGACCACTTGTGATAACTGGAAGGTATGGAGAAGCTGAACTAAAAAAATGATTATTGAAAGCTAATTTGGTTATTGAAATATCCATGTTTTAACATCCATGGTGGCCAACCAGATCCACGGGCTCCAAGACCACGAGCAGAGATAATAACTCCGGTAATTCTCAGGCGAAAGATTCTCTTGGAACTCTCCGACACTGAGGAAATAGAAATCGTAAAAGCGAGACAAGTAGGCGTAAATCCGGAGACTGAACATCCGGTGGACGAAAGAGGTTTATAGAGACAAATGATAATACTCAAGTTTTGTGTAGAATGTTGAACTATAAGCATGATAGCATCTTTATATCACGTGCATGGGAGGTTGGACAAAGTTTTCGACTTTCAAGGTCTCGTTAATCCCGGGCATCATTTTTTTCCCCTTCGCCCAGCAGTCCCAATCCTTGTAAACAGGTTCAGTTTATGGGTGATTTCAACTAGCTGAGTGGAAGCCTGGAAGGTATAATAAATCCCAAGCTGAATTTGAAACCTTATACCCAAATAAATCCCAAGTGATGACTCCATGGCATGCGGCGTGACCATCAAGCGATCAATTTGTGGAGGCTGCCAGCTACCATCTTCACGATTTTGAGATACAGAATTTTCAGTCAGCTGTTGGAGACACGAGTGAAAAGCGTCCATAGATATCTCCTTTGCATCTTCATTTCCATATCACCCAGCAACACCTTTTCAGGAACAGCTCCTGCTTCATTTCTTTGCAGTTGTACCTCTCACAAATCGAGAAAAGGGGAAATAAAAACGAAAATAATGATGATACAAAAATTTAATTAAATTAATAGATATTCTAAATACTTTTATGGAAAAATTTCAGTCTAGACCCTTTAACCACTCTTAATTAAATAGAGAGGCCTTTAAACTCTTAACACCTCACTTCAATTCAAGGGTAGTAAAGTGAAATTAAAATGTTGAAGGGCATGATAAAATTAATTTTTTTAAAATTAAAAAATAAAACCTTCTCTCTTTTCTCTTTCCTTTTAGAAGGCAGTCAAGCGAGCTCCATAAATCGCTAGCATTTTGAAGCAAACATCAAGAAATAGAGAGCGTTGAATGAATCCGGGCTTGAATTTGAAGACCTATGGTGTTGCAGCAAAAAGAACAAACCAAATCCAAAACCTTGGGGTTTAGAATTTTTTAGAACAATAGGCGAAAGGATTTAGAATTTGTTGGTGAATTCTGGAAGGTTTTTCTAGATGCTATTTGAGACATGGTTGACAATGGAGATGAGTTTGGAAGGAACACTACACTTCCACTGGTTTGTTAATAATCAATAAATGTTTTATCCTTTTTATAATTACAGAAAGTTTTGTATACTATCTCGACCCTCTCTACATAAGCATATCTCTGCTAAAGCATTTTCTCCAATCTTTGTAAGGCAAGGGTGATGTATAGTTTAATCATATTAACAAACTTGTTAGTTGACATACACTGAGTTGTTAATTTTCCTTTTATACTTGTCAACACAACATACTGGAATTGTTAAGATTTATAGAGAGAAGTTCATTGAGTCCTCTCAATTTGGTGATAGTAAACTGTCCTCCTCCCTTGCAATGTGTGCCACAATGTTTAGAAGAAGAGGGAGAACAACTTTGAACGTGATGCAATGTTGTAACTCCTTGAAAGTAACAAGTCCAAGAAGAGCTGAGTATTAATGACTTCTGTTGCAATATTAACAATGTCAATGTTGCATAACTTTTTTCATGTTTACAACGTTACTTTTCTGTGTATAACTCGTTTATGAATAACTTGTTTATGGATTATTTGCAACTATATTCAATGGGAAAAAATGAACTCTAAATATTGATAAGTGTTGGTAGGGGCATAAACAATTATTGTAGGGAAATGAACAACTTCTATAAGAAAATTAACAATATGGGCAATGAATAATTCATTTTACCATGATAAGATCACTAAATAAAATAAAGTGAACATATGCACACAAACAACTCTTATAGGTTAATGAACAACTTCATGTAGGAAAATTAACAACTTTAATACGAGCATGAATAACTTATTTTATCATGATTACAACACTTGAAATAAAATCAAGATTCAATAATAGCATAAACAACTCATGTAAGGTAATGAGCAACTTCATATGTGAAAATGAACAACTTTAGTATGGGGAATTTACAATTTTTTTTACCATGATAATAACACTTGGAATAAAATCAAGATTTAGTAATGGCACAAACAACTCTTATAAGAATAACTTCATATATGAAAATGAACAACTTCAGTATGGGGAATTTATAACTCTTTTTATCATGATAATAACATGCTTAAAAGACACTTGCAAATTCCTCATATTGAAGTTTCCCTTACTGAAGTAGTTTTGTTCTTATAGGAGTTGTTTGTGTGCATTTCACTTGATTTAATTCTTAGTGATGTTATCATGGTAAAAAGAGTTGCCAATTCTCCCTACTGAAGTTATTTATTTCTCATATTAAAATGGCTAATTTTCATATTGGAGTTGTTTGTGTGCACAGCTTCACTTGATTTTATTCTTAGTACTGTTATGATGGTAAAAAAAGTTGTAAATTCCTCATACTATAATTGTTTATTGTCCAATTCTCTCCACTATCTATCTTACTATCTCCCAAAGAACCCACCAACCTTTACAAAAGAGAAAGCTCTTCAAGAGGAATCATCCTTCCCTTCTCATGGTTTTTACTTCAATACCTCAATTCATTATATTTAAAGCAATATTTTAAAAGTCGGATTGGATGTTGAACCAAAAAAATTAACGATTTTTAGTTTTTATCATCTAATCGATTAGATCAACGATTAGACCGCTGATGTAATAATTAAATAAAAATAATATTAAATGTATATATATAATAAATATAAGAAAAAAATTTATAATATATTAATAAAATGACATAACATGATCGTAAATTAATAATATTATAAATTATAATTTTATAACTTATCAAATACAGATGGATCTTAGTTAAACTAAATATGAATAGATTCAAAAGTATCTGCATTTGCACATAGAACTGTCAACATCTTTATAAAAAATGGTCTTAAATCATATTTTATACATGTAGATTATCTAAAAATAAAGTTGGCTTTTAATAAGATCTAATTTTTAAATTTTTAAAATTTTTAATATTTTTAAGCTTTTTTTAATATTAAGTTTAAAACCATCTATTTTTTTAAAAATTGCTCCGATTCTTGATTTAACTCTGTTTTTTGACTTAATAGCTGCTCAACTCTGATTCAATCTGACTTAATCATAAAAATAGTTTTTTAGTCCAAATCAAGCTGTTAACAGCGTTGGTCGACGATCCAACTATTCGGTGTGGTATGGTTTTTAAATCATTGATTTAAAGCCCTTATCTATTTAATTGCTTAGGAAATGCAGAGACAACATCGTCAACAACAAAAAAACACACTTGAATGAAAATATACAAGAACATAAACTTTATTCATACGGGAGCAATTAAAATTTACTAGTGAGCTAATAAAAAAATCACTTCCTCGAGTCCCATTATCCAAATTATCAACATAAATTTGGCTCTTAGAAATTCCAAAAATTGTAGCTTCTAAGAGTGAAATAAGGGAAAGGAAGATGACTAACTTTACCATTGTAAGCAGTCTTGGGTTTCCACAGCTTAGAGTCTTGATTCAAGACTAGGTAGTTTTAGCTAGGGGTCTTCAACCACAAGAGATTAGGTTTATTTTGTTAATAAATAATTAAATTCTCCATGTTACCTATATCAGAGGTGTAATATTTTTCTTGATATTATCAAAACACACAACACAACACAATTATGATGATCAAGATTAAGTAAATCCTTATACTAGGTTATCACAATAGATAATGAATAAATTCAAAGTAGTTAAAAATGGGGATCTCGATAAAACCTTTTTTTTAAAAGTGTTTAACTTCAAACATAAGTTTAAAGCATAAACAAATAAGGTACATAATAATGGCAAAAGAAATCACCACAAACATACATCAAATAGGGGAAAATTGGACATGTGTCCAATCTGCTCCATCTGTCATGACTTAGGTATCACTGTAGCGACAAATGGCATAGAGGGGGAAGCCTCTCATTGTGACGCACATGTTCTATATCGCAGCATACCTCTATTGTTATGACAGCACTTAAAAATCAACTTTTAAAGTGCGTCATTTTGCCATCCGACGTCCAATTTAAGCAATTCAAGTATCCACATATAACTAATCAAGCCACCTAACTATCAGCATTAGTTTCACAATCAAACACATTACAATTTATAAATTGGATACCTAGGTACATAAAGTCACTTTTCTATTTCAGAACATGCCCAAAGGTATCAAAAAACTACAACCCAATTGTCAATAGCCTAGAGACCACTTAAACCAACACATACAGACCTTAATATACTTAATAGAATAGTAATATTCATACATATATATCTTAAGAACAAATTGGCCATCAAACTCTTGATTTAGCATTAATTAATAAGGTAAATACATAATTCAAAACAACCACTCCATGACCAAACATAATGACATCATTACTATAACAATGACATTTGTACTAGTATTTCAGTTTTTCACAAACATCCCCATCACAATTTATAGCAATTTAGTTTGAAATACATCAAAATAACATTGTAAATCTCATGCAAGTCCTAAGTTGACATGAATATATATATATATATATATACACAAATACAATACTTACATGAAAAGCTAAAAAAAGAGAGCTATGCAATCGATAGCACTTCAAATTCTTTATAATGTCCTCCTTTTCTTTGCCCCATCAGAGCTTTCACTTATAAAATGTAACTATAGGGTGAGAACAATGTCTCATTAACTAAATAATTTAATCTATCTACAAGCATGCTAAAATAGTATGTAAGCATGTTAAGTGGTAGGTAAAACAATTTTATCCAAAACAATGCATGATCAACACTCCACCTTATATCCTTCTTATTTTTTCTTATTGAATCTGTGGGCTAATAATTCAATAAGACCAAGTCTATATGACTGGACTAGCATAAGCTCTTCAATTATGAGAGGTAGCTTGACTAAAGGCACCTTCACTCATTTTCAAATCACATATTCCCCCTTACTTGAATATCCAAGGTGTCGTATGCCCAATCTATTACCAAGATAATATTAAGACTTCCAAACAATGAAATTGAGCATTAAGGCCTCCAAGATACTAGTAAGCATTATATGGATTTCCAAACAACACTACAACCCTAAGGTGAACTCTCACTCTCTCACAATGATCATACTCATATGATCCAATCAAACACAATCTTATTTACATGATAATTATTTCTAAAACAATAGCATATCAATTCATGCTTGACTTCACAAGTATAGTTATGAGTATACATATAGATTTTGACATAAGAACTATCTTTTAAACATACATACATACATTCTATTTCACATGGATTTCCAAATCACAAATTAACTTTCATATTAAATATCACTAATTTGAAGCAATAAAATATATTTTTAAACACTCACAACCATCCAACCACACAAATAAAATGATTAGATTATTAGATTATCTTAAGCCTTTTGTCATAGAAAGAGTCACCATGGCAATTACTAACTTCCTTAGTTTTTGCTAGCTCTAAAATTGTCTGATCAATATTTAATCTACAAAATTGAATACTAATAATTAATTTACAACTTTAATAAACACCTTTTTTGCTTAAATTAGGGTACCCACACTACCCAAATTTATTCTTTATCATAACCAACACTTCCAACACATTTTATTATCTTTATCTAGTATCCTTAAATCTAGATAATACTTCCAACCATATTGCTCCCAAAACTTAAATTTAAGCCTAGGATTCATTTAAACCCTAGCTCAAATTTTTAAATCAATATAAAATTATCAAACCTGGATTTAAAAGTTTAAATTAACATCCCATAGACCCAAAGAATACTATGGGTACAAGTATAACACAATGGGAGATGAAATCAACACTCTGCTATACCTAAACTTACTATAATTTCACATAGAGAAGAGGTAAGATGAATAGGAAGCTTACCCAAATGTATTGCTAGCTTAAAATTCCTTCAAATTAGTCCAAATGTGAAACCTAGTAGAGAAATTCTCTTCCTCCATTGCCCTTCTCATTTTCCTCTTTCTTTCCCTTTCTTTCCAACGTATGCAAGCTTCTGATTTAATAAAATTTTTGCATATCCACTGCGGCGAATAGTGCGTCGACAGCAACGGATGGCACAAGGAGGCCTAAGCAAATTTTGATCCTTGCTTGATGAAAAAAAATCCTTCCTTACTAAACACAATTAAAACTATAATTCATGATAATCAATGAATTAACCCACAAGAGATTATCAAGTTTGTAATTTGAAATAATGAGACCTCAAGTTTTTATAATATAAAATGAGTCAAACCCATTCATTAAACCTTCAGTCAGAGTAAAATTATGTTATGGAAGTATGAGATACCTCAGAGGAGTAAAAGGAGTTAAAAATAGTTAAAAATCTCAAGTTGCTAAAAATAGAGCAGAGCGCCACAGCTCATGCACTATGCATCATGGCGTGTTGTGCGCTCATGACAGCAATTCTATTATCATTTGATAGCAGACTCGGGTAACTTTTGGCATTTCCTATTTCTTTGTCTAACATCCAATGAGATGATCTAGGCTTTTACAAAAAGTTCATACCATAATCTAGCTATTGGCATGGGTTTTACTTTCAAAACAAGTCACACTAAGAAGTTAGATATCTAAACGTATTTTTATAACTTTTCTCAACTTTCACAACAAAAGAGTGTCCAGAATGGGGGTTTTAACATTGCATTTCAGTAAAATATTCATTGTTGTAATTAAATGAACATTCATATACTTATACTAGTATTTTGATCCTATCAACTTTACAATTTAACCTAAGCAATATCTTAGGGCCTCAAATACATTCAGACATCACGAACAACTATATAATGTAAGTGTAAACAAAATGCATTTTAATTGACAATATTCAATCTATTATGCAAAATAAAATAATTCAAAGAGGCATACAATAGGAATACTTAGATTCCTAAGCGTTCAGAGCTTTTTCCCTTTCTATATTAGAACTATAGCCTATAAAATATTAAAAAAAAGGTGAGTTTAACCACTTAGTAACCAAGGTTAGCTTGTCTTATGCTGTTGTATATCAATTGAATAAACACATGAGATCAAAGTTGATTTTCTCAAAATACACATAAACACGTGTAACAAATTACTATTTCTCAATTAACTCATTTCCATCTCAATCAAGGTACATTGCTACACAAACACACAGACATGTGACAATGGCCCACTTTATTAATACGACTTGCCACAAACTTAAATAATTATGTGACACATCACATAATCACGTATGCATGATCAAGCCATCCTTATACCTTTCTTATTTTCTTTGATTGAAATATTAGGCTATAACATCAAATAGGGTTCCGTCCGTATGACTGGACTACCCAAGCTCATTAATTGTGAGGTATGACTTGGCCACAGATCATAGGACTCACTCTTGAACCATAGTTTCCCCCACTCTCTTGGATCTTTAAAGTGTTATGTACCTTAAGCTAATCTCCTTGATAAATTGAAGATAGCTAGGTTCTAGTCTCTCAACAAACTATGAGATAAGATTATATCCTCGTGCATCAGAAGGCAGCCAAAAACACTACATGGATTTTAACTACTCCTCTTCCTAGGTAAACTCCCATCAACTGATTATGTAATGAACAATGCCCACTCATTTTTCACAATTTCATTTTCAAAATCAATACATTAGACTCATGCCCATGTGCTACCCAAGTGAGCATCAAATCTTATTTTCTCATTTATCACATATATCTATCATTTTCAATCTCAACACGATTATCTTTATCATACCCATCATCAACTACTCATTTCAATATCACATTACAAACTTGAAATTCATTTCAAAATCACTTTCACATCTTTAGTCCAAATCAAGCAAATATACTATCACAAGTTTCATAACATGTGTACCCATTCACAAATTACAATTATATAAGCTAAAACACACATTTCATATTACAATGCAATTAATAAACAACTATCAATGATAGAATTTTTTGATTATCTAAAACATTTGAGAGATCAAAGGTTTACCCTTCAATAATTAGCTTCCAAACTTGATTCCCAAGCCAAAATGGTGCCCAAATGCTCAATTTATAATTAATCAATTATAAACTCATCAACAATGTCAAGAACACAATTTAAACCCTCACACTTTCACTTCTTCGATAGCTAACCTTCTTACTTCTCACCCTTGGGCTTACTCATTGGATTTAATAACTCTTTTTAATTCACATTAGCATCATTAATCATTTCTAATGTCATTAATGTCTCAACAACCCCCATTAAATGCTCATTTTTGGGTATTAATGAGGTTTACCAATTAAAGATGTCACAATGCATCATTTCTAGGTTTAAATATTTCAAACAACTCTCATTAACTTCATTTGAGTCAATGGGTTTGGACTCATAATCTATATGGAATGGAAACCATCTCCCATTATTAAACCCTAACCAAAAACTTTAAGAAAGTAGAAGAGAATGGAAGATTAGAGTGCATGACACTTACCTTAAGTTTTTTTTAACACCAAAATACTCCCACACTACCAATATGGCAAATCCTAGCGGAGCAAAAGGCATCCTCTTCATTTCCTCTTTTTCTTCTCTATGTTTTCTATATTAGTTCAAGACTAAATTTTGCAAAAAAAGAGTAGTGTGCATGCCATAGAGAGGCCCTCTCTCTCCAATTGTCATTTGTGCTCTGCGATGGACGTGTTATATGCTGCGACATATGGCACAGAGATAATCCTTCACGTTTTTCTCCTTCTTTCAATGTCCGGGTGGTTTGACTTCACTTTGGACCTATAATTAGGGCTAAAACCATAACTGAATACACTTATTAGACTTTTCTAGCCACATACTACATGAAATCACTCAATTATCATAATTAAAACTTGATTAATTCTTTAGTAATCTAATGATTAAAATTTAAGATGTTATACTTGCTATCCAGTTTGCCTAAATATCATTGTAGTCCACTTTTAAGGCTGTCTAAAGGTGCAACAAACCCATTAGTAGTCCATAAATACCGTTAGTCTAATAAATGCTCAAATTTACTCTTTTACCCTTGTTAAAGCTTGAAATTTAAATTTAAAATTTGAGGATGTTATAAGAGGCTATTTTGAAATGTCTGAGATGTGAATCTACCAACACCAAGTTTTGTTACTTCAACAACTACATCCTTTCTTAGCCTCACCATTTCTGTAAGACTTATTGGAGGTACTAGACTTGTAGCGATGCATTGAGGGATGTTTCCATTGGAGGGGGTGCCGGAGTAACAAGAGAAGCAAAGGAAGCAACTCTAAGTCTGTTTGTGTCGTTTGGCATGTGTTTTGTGATTAACTAAAGAATTTAAAAAAAATTAAAAGAGGGTTAATTTTGTCATTTTTCTTAACATTTTAATTTCACTTTACTACCTTTGGTCTAAAGTGAAGTTTGAGAGCTTAAGAAGCTATCTTTTTAATTAAATGTGATTAAGGGGTCTAATTTGAAATTTTTCCTATTTTTGCAAACATTCATAATTAAATAATTTTGAATATATAAAATATACCTAATTACATCCCTCCCTTGTTCCATGTTTTTCCTTCCCGTGTCGAATCACAATGCTGGTGGTCCGTAAACTCTCACGTTCTAGATTTGAGCAGTATGCTACGTCGTTGCTCTTCTCACTTCTAGTTCCTTATTCAAAACCCTATGGCCAAAACTTTAGAAAATTCTTGCATCCTTCGACGAAATTGTTTAGGCATTTCTCTTCAGCAACTGAACAAAATTTGCCCCTCTCTCGTGATGGTAATTATGATGAAGGCACGTCACAATCTCTTCTTATCTGCCCCGGTTGTGGGGTTTCTATGCAGGACTCCAACCCAAAACACCCTGGTTTTTTTATTAAACCCTCTCAGAAGGATTTGGCATATAGATTGTATACTCATCTTGAACCCGTTGCCCAAGTGCCTGAATTTTCCAACTCTATCAAAATGGGACTCGTTATTGAGCCTGAAAAGCTTGACGGTGGTGTCCGCTTGCACGCGAAAGCGGACGAGCCGTTGGTCTGTGCACGCTGCCACTCATTGAGGCACTATGGAAAGGTAAAGGATCCGACAGTGGAAAATTTGCTGCCAGATTTTGACTTTTATCATACGGTGGGAAGGAAGTTGGCTTTGACAACTGGATCTCGGTCCGTGGTTGTGATAGTCGTTGATGCAGCGGATTTCGATGGGTCATTTCCTAGGAAGATTGCAAATTTAGTGTCTAAGACAATTGATGACAACTCTTCTGCGTGGAAGCAAGGCAAGTCAGGAAATGTGCCTAGAGTGGTGCTTGTGGTAACGAAAATTGACTTGCTGCCTAGTCCTTTGTCACCTACAAGATTGGAGCATTGGATTAGGCAAAGAGCAAGAGTGGGTGGAGTGAATAAGATTACTAGCATGCACATGGTGAGTGCACTGAAAGATTGGGGTCTGAAGAATTTTGTGGATGATATTATTGATTTGGCTGGACCTAGAGGGAATGTGTGGGTTGTTGGGGCACAGAACGCGGGAAAGAGTACATTAATAAATTCCATCGGAAAGCATGTTGGAAGGAGGATAACACATCTGACTGAAGCACCTGTACCAGGAACTACGTTGGGAATTATTAGAGTGGAAGGTATTTTAACAGGTCAGGCAAAACTGTTTGACACACCTGGCCTGTTGCACCCTTTTCAGATCACACCGAGGTTGACAAGGGAAGAACAGAAGCTTGTGCACATTGGCAAGGAGTTGAAACCTAGGACATATAGAATCAAGGTTAGAACGCTGTAAATTTGATTTTTGGTACTGTCCATTATTGATAAATCCGTGTTTCTTTTACTCAGTCATAGAGGATTACTACATAACTAGAATAAAAATTTCATGGTCATTTTCCCTTTCAGAAGAAACATTATATTTGTGCTTGGTTGGTTCACCTTGATAACTCAACAGAATAGAGACTCCCCAATTTTCTGCCCGCCCCTCTCTTTTCCTTCACCTACTTTTTTTCTTTTGAATGACAAATGGAGGCAATAGCCTACAAATTGGAAAGGAGTAGAAGATAATTAACCTACATCCGTAGGTTTATATCTAATATCATAGCCCATGATGGCTAAACACTCCGCAGGTGGATCCATAATAACACTTTGTTGTTGCTCTGAAAAGAGTGCATGGTGTGCCTTCACCTACTTTTTGTTAACAAACTTCTTCAAGATCTTCCCTGAACAATCTCCACTTTTTATTCGTTCCTAGACAATCCTTAAGAAGTTTTATTCTTTTAGCGACCCCATACTTTTTCCTTGCACAAGTCTTATTACCTGAGGCTATCTATCAATTGGCACCTCTTTTAGTATTGAAATATTGAGATATAGCTCCTTGATTCGTAGTAACACTGAGCATTTGTTTTTAAGTTAGCTTATCTTGTTTTTATAGTCTATTCAATTAGTTTAAGATAACATTATGAATGAAGTTGAAGTATTAATGGAACAAGAGTTTGTTATTATCAACCTTTTTTTTTTTTGAAGCTCTTTGGCAGTTTGCTGTCCCTGCTTGTTTATGGTGTCTTTGGTTGTAACAGAATGTGAGTGTTTGGCCTGAGGTTTCTTGCTATATGATTTGGGAGAGAATTAATTTCTTGGCCTCTATGGGGGGTTTCTGCTAATTGTTTTCCAAGGGGTCTCCCATGTGAATTTAATAAAAAGGATTGGAAAGCTCTTTTGAGCTTATAAATCTGCAAGTTTTTTTCTTTCCTTTTTTTGGGAGGACTTCATATCTTCCTTTTCTAGAGCTGGTGGGTTTGCTTACTCATAGGTGGCAGCAGCATTTTCCAGCTGCTTGCCATCTTACCTAAAAATTAGCTTTGTTATGCCATGTGGGCATGGTGGAGAGTAAAATTTTAACTTCTGTCAAGTGTAGGGAGTAACACTAAAGTGATTGGAATTGAAACTATTTTGAAAAAGAAATTAAATTACAGGATCAGATTCACAATTAAAACCTACTATATGGGTCAAATGATTAATTTCTCCCAAAGTTATTTTTTTAATATTTTTTGGGCTTGCATTTATTATTGTTTTGGAATCTCATAGTTAACTCTTAGAATTATTCTCTAGGTTTGATATTAAGATAGGAAAGTTATCTTTACATTGCTTTGTTATCCATCTTTATCTTGAGGAGTTTCTATTGTAGTTAAACTCTATTTCTCATATTATTTTAAACAAAAGAAAACATAGAATGCAGGTCCGTTAGATGGACAGTTTCCCTTCATCCTCTAAATTCTGCATATATTTTACTTTAAAGCTAAATTTCCACATCCGGCCTTTGCATGCTTACATATTTAAATAGAAACTTATTTGATAAAATGCATTGCCCAGCTTAACTCGTTGAAAGGATAACTGCAAGAAGTTTTAATAATTAATAGTTGCTCTGTTATATTCACTAAAATACAAGTTATTGTTTTCTAGCTTGGATGCATTGGGGGAGAAACTATGTTTGAATTTTCATTCTATTAAATCCATTGTATTTAAAACCGGGCTGGATGGACTGGCAAACTGGTCTGGTCAAGTGTCTAGACTGGACATTTGCTGACCCATTTCAGCCTAGGATTGACGCAATGCAAACTGGTCGACCCTACAAGTTGGCTGTTTCAAGCGGGTCGAGGAAGAAGGGGTGAAAGTTGCATATCCAAGCTGAAAAAATGCGAATAACCCTGAAAAGGGAGAAGAAAAAGAACTGGAAAAGAAGAGTGAAGAAGAAGAAGATCGAGGCAATCAAAGAAAAAATAAGACAAAAAAGACAAAAAAGAGTGACATGAGAGGGTCTGAGGTTAACACACCCAAAGAGGAAGAGGAGAACTGCGACGTTGTCCTTCATATCTCTGTAGAATGCCTCTGAGGTTTGACGATGTAAATGCACAGAAAAAATTGGAAAAGGAGTTGCTGGAAGAGAGGTATATGAAAAAGAGAGTGGAGACGTAAGAGGGTCTGAGGTTTAGAGGGGTAAAAAAGATAAAAAGCTTGGTAGAAAAAACAGGGAACTAGATAGATTAATTGCAAAATCCGTTTGATATATTTATGTGCCTCTCGGTAACACATTGATACATATGATAGTCACTACACACGATGAGCATAGCCATAGGTAGAAGAAGCAGTCACTCTATTAGTAGGTAGGTAGCGTTCAAGCTACCATTTGATATATATATATATATATATGTATATTACTTTTTAATAAATATTTTATGCAAAGTTAATTTTTGCACATATATATGTATATTATTTATTTATATATATATATATAGGTAGTTAATAACGGAGATAATATATAGTCTCGTGTTGTTTACATATATGTTTATTCGTGAACTATTAATATATATATATATATATTTTTATGTTTTGGTGCTTTACACTTTATTTTGGCTTTGTTATTATTTTTCTGTCTTAATCTTGTTTGATACTTCTTGAAAATTAGTTTTATATTATAGTTTGTATTCTTATTTTTATCTAAAATAATTAATATATAATTAAAAAAACAGCAATTTAATTACTACTAATTTGATCATGATTCATTTATACTTAAAACTAGTGTTTCAATTGGTTTAATGACTGGTTTGGTTTTTAGTACCTTGGTTAAATCACTTCTAGATTAGAATATGGAATGTTCTTCCAATTTCTTCTTCTAACACGATATTCCCCTCTTTCTGGAGAGTTCTTTATATTGTATATTTTATATGTGATTAGACTGGTAGTAACTATCACCAAGATTACTAGAGATTTTGGTTATTTTTTTTGAGAGAATATATATAAAGTATCATAATATTCTTTAATTGTGATGTCCTTGGCATAATCATGAGGGTTCCTCATGATTGATATTTAAGAAAAATGTAATAGAAGCATTATTAGTTGGCAGTTCCGTTAGCATAAAGATAAGAGGATAGCTGTTCATATTTGGATATATGCTTTGTTGCTCTGGGAGCTGGTTTTACATTACCATGCTTGGCATTGTTTGTGGAGGAAGATATGTCCTTGACAGGGGCTTAATAAATAGTGGCATGGCTTGCATTTTTAAATCTGAAAATCTAGGGAAATAATTGTGTTTTCTGGGATTGCACATTGCGGCATAGTCTCTTATCAATCAATACCTTTTTACAAGTTTTGGTGGCATTTTCATACAGCGAATGCTGGTACTATGGTTGTTCTGCTGTGCTGCTTCACTGTTTCTTGTGGATATTAGTTATCAGAGTCCAGAGAAGCATGTTTACATCTGGTTATTCTGGGTTACACTGCAATCTCATTGGTTCACACAAGGTTCATCAAGAGCCTCTTTTTAGAACCTATCATGGTTCATATTTTTGTTAATTTATTGTGGCAGGCTAGTCAAACGGTTCACGTGGCTGGTTTAATGAGATTGGATGTGGAAGAAACATCCCTCGATTCTGTTTATGTCACGGTCTGGGCATCTTCTTTACTTCCATTGCACATGGGTAAAGTAGAAAATGCATGTAAAATATTGCAGGATCATTTTGGGCGCCAGCTACAGGTACTTTCCTTGCTCAGTTTACTACATACAGAGCAGTTCTTTGCCCATAGATCTTATAAGCTGACTTATAATGCTCATGCATCCTCAAGATTTTTTGTTGGTGGCATCTTAAATAGCTGCCTTCTTCTGTACTATGTCCGGGCGAATTTTTGACCTATCATTGCAAAATTGTGCCCTAATTTTTCAAAATCATTAAGTTTACTGCTTTCGTAGAAGAAGAAATACTTACTGAACACAAATTTTAGAACTATAATGAGCAACCGCCAAAATATCCTCAAGGTGCTGGGCTCTTCATTTGACCACATGGGAATGATGCATGTAGAACTGTAAAAGACAATGATCGATAAGGATGATATATGATGTGTTATGGTTTTCTCTTTGTATAACACCATTTAAAATTTTTCTGTCTAGCCACCAATAGGTGAGAAACGAGTTCAAGAGCTGGGGAGTTGGGTGAGAAGAGAATTCCATATCAGTGGGAACAGTTGGGACTCAAGTTCTGTAGACATTGCGGTTGCTGGCCTTGGCTGGTTTGCCGTTGGACTGAAAGGGGATGCAGTGGTAGGCGTTTGGACATATGAAGGAGTTGGTGTTGTCCTTCGAAATTCTTTGATTCCTCATAAATCTCATAATTTTGAAGATGCTGGGTTCACAATCTCCAAAATTGTCTCCCAGTCTGACCGAGCTTTAAATAAAAGTGGCACCAACCAAGTAACAGAGGCGTCTGTTTGGGGGAAAGTTGAGTTATCATCACGTTTTCAATATAGGAAATGGTAGATCGGCAATCAATTTCCGAGTGCATGCAGGGAAGATGGTTTGTTGAGGCATGGATCAAATGCCTACAAAAATTCTTACCACAAAAGTATGTCATCTGGCTGTTTAATGTTTGTCATACTCGGATTGAGGGAATTATCTCTCTTTAAGTTTTGCACTGCAAATTGCCCGTCTCCCCCCCGCCCCCAAAAAAAAAAACCTTTACTTTCACCTCATGGAGACTATGGCTTGTTTGGTTATTGCCTTCATGTTTTTGTTTTCAAAAGTTTTTTTATAAAACAATTTTAAAAAATGTTTTTGAGAACAAATAAAAAAAACTTGTTTGGTAATAGTAATTCAAAAACAGTTTTAGAATTAAAAAAACAAAAAAACTTGCTTGGAAAAATTAATATTAAAAATAAGTTCTAAAAACTAAAATAAATAAAACTCGTTTGATAAAAATTGTTTTGGCTGTTATTTTGCTTGGCAGAATTAGTCTATATGTTGCTGCCAATAAAATATAAATTTTATTTTTTGGAATTTCCTTACAATTTATAAATGAGTAATATTTATAAGAATATAAAAATTTATATTACTAAAATTATTTGTTTAATTTTCTAATTAAACCAAGACAGACATGTAATTATTTAATATTATTAGCACATGAAAATTTATTTATTTTAATTTATTTAGACAAAAATATGTTAAGTATATAAAATTATTTACACAAGTTTGCTTATATATATATGTGCGCGTGCACGTATGTAATAAAACATTAACAAAGGAAGAAACATCTTTTAAAAAATGAGAAATGAAAAATTTATATTATAATAAAAGGAGATATTTTAATAAATACTAAAAGAATCTATAATTATTACAATAAATGATATAGAGATATAGTTAAGCGAAATAGGATAGAATTAAATGAAAATCATAAACCAATCATTTTGTATAAATAAAAAAAAGTCTTGACATAAGCCTAAACATAGGGAGATTGAATCAAAAGCATGAGGTTGAGGAAACAAAAAAGTTTGAATTAGTGATCACTAAAACCGTCTTCCTAACAGTATGGGAACAAAAACAACAATTTTTTTCCCGCTTTTACTTAGTAAAAATAAAAAAATAGGAATAGAAACAGCTAAAAGTTGTTTTAATTTTCTTGTATTTAAAAAAATTAAAAACTGTTTTCAAAACAAAAATTAAAAAATCATTAGCCAAACAATTTTTTTATTTTAAAAATAAAAAACCTGTTTTTAAGAATAGAAAACAAACAGGCTAATTTTACTTTATTTTAGATATTTGTTCTTTTTCTTCAATCCGATCCCAATACCCTTCTTGTTTGTTCTTTTTCTTTCATAGAATTGAGACATTGGGATGTTGCGAGTAATTAAATTAATGAGTGAAATTAATTGTCTATATATGATGCAGTTGCCTGTTAAAAAGATTATCTTTACTTTATATTCTATATTTATTAAAATAAAATTAAACTATATAAAAATAAAAATAATGTTAAGCCTAGGCCAATAGAATTCATTCTCTACGCCCAAACCGAACCGAAGGAAAATAATACTATTTGCATTGATGCGGCGTTCACCGGAAGAAAGCATAAACATCGCATTGATGTTTTCATTTCACGCCTCGCGATTAGATATAAATGGATAAACTTCTATGCATTATATGAAATTTTAAAACTTGAAAATATCATATAGTATTATTATCTAAAATTTTCACATTATTAATTTTTACATAAAAATACATTATGAATTTTAAGTGATATTTATTTAAAATGTCCTACACATGGTAATGTTACGGGATCTTTAGTTTTATAATTCAATATACGATGTTTAATTCTTCCATTCGTTATTTTGCAACCCAAAATAAATGGGAAACCAGAACCATTTTGGCAAAAATTTTCCCCCATCGGATACGACAAATGGATACTATAATTCGATGCCAAAACGTCACTGAAGCCAGGAAATCAGACGACGGTTTAATTTTTGATCGAAAACAACAAAAATGAGCCTGTCCCTCCCATCACTCGAACCACAAAGGGCACTTTGGAAGGTGGAGGGGGCCAGGGGAAACTTTATATACAACTAACCTGAAAACATCCTCTCCACTTCCATACTCCTTCCCTTTTTTTCTCAACCATTTGACTAAATTTAAATGGCTGAGTTTTAATATATTATAAAATTATTATTACAATATCAAATGATAAAAGATAAATATATGAATGTACTCATTTGAGAACTTTGTTTTTTTATCATTTTAACATTTTAAAAATAATTTTATAAAATACTAAACCGAATCATCCAAATTTAACCAAATGGTTAGATGAGAAGTGGAGAGGAAAAGGCAGGGAGAGAATCCAACAAAAAATATACATAAACGGGAGAACATACCAACAACACAAATTTACAAAACGGTGTTTATGTGTAGAGCTTTAAGTAAAGAAGTAGCCATCTGTTTGACCAACACTTGGCCTCCCGAGCTTTGCCCATCTCTTCTCTCCTCTATCAAGCTCTGTAGCTTCTGAGGCAAATCATTCTCCACAATCAACTTCTTGGGCTGAGGGTGGTGCTCATAAACAGCCTGCCACAGCAATTTAATCAGAGACCCTGCTGGGTAAAATATTCCAGAGACTTCGCATCGACACAATAAATCACTTTTTTAAAACCACCTTTTTCGTACCATGTAAGCATGCAATTATCTGCATTATCAATCCAACTATCCAAGTGTGTTGATTCCAGATAAAACATTCAAATTTGAAGCCCCAGTAAAAGATCATAGGAAATGCACATTTGAAAATAGCACGTTGGAAAGATAAATGATAAAATAAAGATCAGACTCATTGACTTAAAATTGAGTTGACTCATGCAAAAACCTAATATCTGGTTATCAATCCAGATTCAACTCTGGCACTAAATATCCAGATTCAACAATACTTGAATCTGAACAGAGAGAACCGGATACCATGTTTTAGCACCCAAGGGAACAAAGAACTAGCAAATGTAACATCTAATTATTTAATTCTCAAATTTACCGCACCATTTTATGAGTCAATTTGAAGCTTGGTTTGACAAATGCCAAAACATCTAGTCAAATGGGTTTTGATGGACTAAATTTGTTTCCAAAGCCTTGTACACTCTGAATTGCATAGTAACACTAATTTGGCTCTCAGCTATTAAGAAAGTTGCCTAATGTAATCGTGGAGCAGAGAGCTAAAACTAGGTATCGTAATGGTACTGTTTAACGGATATTGTATAAAAAGATAAATAGTATCCATTTGACAACATGATAAAAAAGTACCTGCAAAGCTTCATATAATTAAAACTCTGAAGTTTGAAAACATTGACAATGAAATTACAAAGGCCTGTAATATATTCGACATGTTGGAGAACAATAATTTATTGTTCCTATACACCATTCACCAGAATCAAGACATCCAGACAAAATTTTCCACAAAATCATTTCTATAGAAAGCATAACTAATGAAACAGATGTATTTGAATATTATTTGATAAAATAATGTATTTATGAAAACATGTATAATTGTAACTTTGCTCATGTTAAAACATTGAGACATTTCTTTCAAGAATAGAGACTGCTGTTAACTGTCCACGGAGTCTCGCATGTCAAGCTGCAATGTTCACGACTTGTAAACAGCGCAGCGAAGTTTATCAGATATATAGCTGATGGGTGAGTAACTGTCCAGCAAAAGTTTGTCAACTAAATTGGGACTTGACAGAAACATCAAGTTTGGTTGCCAGCAAGAAAATGCTATATAAAAACTGAATCATGTGATTGTGAAGCTACATCTATGTGGACTTTTATAATTTTAAACGTAAGATTCTGTTCCATTATCGATTAGTAGGACTGCATCTACTACAAATTTTAGCATGTATGACAAGAATCATGTGCATCCATTCTAGGTAAAACAATAGGATAATTTGTACCTTTATAAGTTTGAGTAAATTAAGACGAGCTATAGCATCTCGATGATCAAGCCTTGCAATCAGTAAGGGAGTTAATCCATTAACAGCTAATGTGGTATTAATCCGCACAGATTTTCTGCAATAATTGATGGCATGTACAGAATGAAAATTGAAGAAGAATAAAAATTGTATAGAATGAAACTATAGTTGATTTAAAGTCAGCAAGAACCAAATATTTCATTCATTACATGAAATAAACACAAGAAATGTGCAAAATTCGTTAAGCTGTGAAGCTTTGTTCTATTGGCCTATGTAAATGCATTTTCAACATGAAGTTCCAGAGATTGATGTCTTAGTAAGAGACCCTGAATTAAAAGCTCAAGTGAGATTGTTGTTGTTTTCTAATACCCAGAATCAGATAACTGGTATAATCCAAAACCCCAACTTCACAAAACCTTAGCTTCTTCATTCTTCTTGTCTTTTTTTTTTTTTAAGGCTGTTGTCTATTAAATAACTAATATTAGTTTATCTTCCCTGCACTCATCCAACTTCAATAGAGGCAAGGACCTTTATGCAGCAATTCCTTACTTCCTTCTTTCATTTTTGGGTTACTGAAAAGAAACTATCCATTCATGATTAACGTCTCACAAGGCGGAAGTTATAAGGAAAACTAAATCAGGTCCATAATTTATGGGAAGATTAAACAGAAAGGATCTAAAATCCTGTACATACGTGATGATTTTCAAGAATGGCTCCAATATGTGCACAAAATACTGCTCTGGACAGGTCTGGAAGAACTTGACCAGCCTCTGCACTGCATCCTTTTTCAGTAATGCTTGTTCAACCTTCCTATTGTCATTATCATGAGCCAAGCAAACAGCAATAGAATCTAATGCCGTCACTGACCAAATCTCATCCTCAAGAAGGTTCAAATAGACGTCCAAACCCCCATGGGCCCTTAACTGCTCCCTTGAATTTCGAGATGCATGGGCCATGTCACACAGTAGAGGCAATGCATATTGTTTCAAGGGAGAATTTGAGGTTATAAATTGCATCAGATGGGGAATAATCCCATTTTCAGCAGCTTGTTCTTGTCTCCTCTTGTTTATCTTGCATAAATTGAACAGTGCATTCAAGACCTTCAGGGGGAAAAACAAAAACAAAATTATAGTCAACTCTGTCAAGAAAGTGAAGTTATTAGTGATGTACCTCGTATGCCAGATATTTATGATACAGAGAGGAGCGCACGACCGCAGTTTTCTTTTTTCTTTTTAAATAAAAGAGACTTTATCAGAGAAAATCAGAATTACATGAAAGGGGAACTAGAAGCCTCCCAAGAGAGAAGGCAACAAAGGAAAAAAAAGAGAAAAGAAAGAAAAGAACGAACAAATATTACACTAAAATAACCAAGCATGTTAGACTTGTACTTCTCTCTCCAAATGCACACGGGCATTTTCCCTCAATACACAACTATAGCTCATTCATTTTTATTTATCCAGACTTAAAAGAATAGAGGAAATGGCATACATGAATACAGATGACGGGCTACATGTCAATTATATATGTTAGTGACCAGTAAGTCATATATCAAATAGAAAAATATATTTAACTTTTTCTTCTAATTCACAGAAAATAACAATAGTAAATTAGTCAGCAAGACTGACCTCATGATGCATCTGTGATATAAGTGGCCCTTCTTTGAGTTGCAGATTTGGTATCAAGTATTTTATTGCTTCAGCACGTTGCAGATTCTCTAAGCAGTTTGGATCAGTTGACAGATGATTAATACACTTCAGTATCTAAAAACATGGACATGACCTAAAATTGTCAGAAGTTTTAAATGTAGTATACAAGGGAGAACATAAAAAGAAAAATTTTCCATCCCACCTTTAACAGAATTGGAGGCTCCACCCTATTAAACATCTGGAAAAGACGACTGAGCAAGCTTTGGCTACACATATAAGACTTCACTGTCGTGTCAGCTTGAGCAAACTCAAGCAGAAGATCTGCTACTTTTTCCAGGTACTCCCTGGCAACATCAGCATTCAATGATGAAACCATGTGGGAAAGAAGCCCAGATGAAGTTGCACTGCCTGGTCTAGCATTTAAGACGCCTGAACCAGACAGCACACCTGAAGCTGTCTGAGATACAATCCCAGATGTGGATGCAGCCCCTTCATTAGACCCTAAAGCCCCTGGTTTCTTTGAAGCAGCTTTGTAAGACACTCTAGCACCACTGTCAAGATTTCCATTTTCTCTACCACGTTGGGAAACATCTGCATTACCATAAAAGCAACAATCATTTATATATATATATATATTAACGGTCAAATCACAGCAAAGGAAGAATATGTTGAAAAAGCAGAAAGCATGATTTATCAATTTGCATGCATTTGGATATTTGTATGCATATACAATGGAATGTGATCCTTGCTACTAATATTTTATCTCATTCTATTTCTAATAAATGTTCAGGTGAAGCTTCAAGGAGAAAGCAAGTAAAGATTAACAAGCATGGAGCATACATTTTGGGCAGACAAATATATAATATATATACATGTGTGCATGTCAAGTGCGTGTAATTTTGAGATTTAACTACTAGGTTTAGGTTAGCATAAACATGAACTTATGATGCATACCTATAGATATGCTAAACTGCCCGATATTCTATGGAGGCTTGATGTGTTTATAAGAATTATGTTATGGAGTATAAATGTTTTAGCTGACCATGAGATAATTTGATAACATTTTTTTTAAGTTTCAAGTTAGTGAGAAGCCTAATAGGTGAATAATTATAATTAGGCTAAGTTAAATACTAATGAAGTTAAAAATTATAATTTGCTTCTATGGATAAACATTCAATGTGCACAGGCTCTAATAAATAATTACTTTATTCAAGTATAATATTCAGAAGTAAAGTGATTAAGCAATATTTTAGCACGATATTTAGATTTCAGCAATTTTTTATTATGACTATAAGGCAAAATGTATTCCATCATGACAAATGGGTGTTTCCAGCAAGATCGAAGAAGATTTCGATAATTTGTTTCAGGGGAAAAGGAAGGATAACAACTTTTGGCAGGGTGCAATATTTGGGCCTTTTGCTTGAAAAAGAAAAATACAAAAATCTTCGTTGGAAACTTGGGTCCTTGCATCTAGCAACAGAGATATCCAATGGAACTTAATCAATCAGATTTGTAACTGAGATTATTCTATTAATATTGGAGAAATTATTTTTTTAATAACTCTTCGTCCATTTTTTTGCTAGTTTCCTTTTTTTTTCAAATTTTATCAATAGAAGCATAGAATATGGCACATAAATTGATCCTCATTACCTGCAAATTCTGCCATCAAATAGTCCAGCTCACCATTTGTCTTCTTCTCAGAGGCATGTAGTAAAGGGAGTACACTTTCATGCCTTTCTAATCCTGACAACTGGCGTACATATTCAAGCTGACCAGATATTTGTCTAGATGGAGGCTCTTTCTCTAACAAGCTAAGAAGAGGCCTAACCTGCTCTTGCTGTGTAGCTCCTGCCAGTGATAATCCATTTGATGCAGGATCTGTCAATTTCAAAGCCCTATCTGTTGATGCCCTGCTAGCAGAATTACTAATACGCTGCTGTCTAAGTTCAACATCTGCTCGAGAAGAATCATTTTTCCATCGATCCATGTTGTCCCTCTCCTTTGAAGGTTCCTTGGATGCTACATTTGTACTCTTTTCTGACGTAAACTCAGCTGCTGCGTTGCTAGATTGAAGCCTATCAACCTCTACAGAGTAATTACCATCTGATCTTTGAGGTTGTGAGGTTGAGGCAAGTGAAGGGTCCAAGTGATGATCAAGTATCCCATGCCTCAGTTTAGGGAGATCCAACTGGTCTGCTGAAGACAGCAGTGCATCATTCTGAATGCTAAGAGGATGTGTCGAATCCAAGGGCCCAGATCGTGGACGTTGAGCCAAACCATCAACTGGAAATCCAACCCCAACAGATATAGAAGCTAGTCGTGTTGCCTCATTTAAGCTATAAAGGGTGTTTATAAGCCTCAGGAGTATTCCATTCTTTGCAGCTATTCGACAAAAGTCATTTCTAGGGGTTGATCGCTGAAGCTTAAAGACTTGCCACATGCCGTCAATAGCCAGATGTACCATTTCCCTAAGATAGTGGTGAAGAAGTTTATTGACATTGATGCATGTGTTACCAAAAGAATAGTTAAAAGTTAAAAGATATCATATAATGCTAAAGGTTTTGCAGTCAGACAACATCACTGAAGAATGAGACATGGCCGTCTATAGAAAGTACTGCGATGCTGCAAAATAAGAGTTTGAAAAATTCTTATTGCAGTATAAATTGAGATAAAATATGCTTATAGACCAATTTTCCAAGTAACCAAAATGTCCATTACAAGTAAATTCATTTGACCAAAAAACCCACAAGGATAAGATTGATTTGTTATACTTAGAATATAATATGTATTTATTAAACATCAACTTGAATGCTACCTATTTTGCGTTAAAAACCATACATGACAACACTTAGAATAATTTATATATATTTCATACACGTTAGTCTTTTTTGTTGCCTTCTTTAATATGTTAAATTTAGTAACAAGTATGTCTCATTAAATACATAGATCACATGGTACCATTGTATTCTATCAATAACCAACTCTTCAGAGATATTATTTACTAATAAATCTTGATCAATGACTTGTTTGAATGTCTTTCTTGGTCTTCCTATACTTCTCTTCATAGAGCTAAAAACCATCTACTCAACCCTCCTTACTTGCACCTCCATCGGCCTTCTTTGCAAGTGTTTGCACCACAAACAATTTCCTACCATTTTCTCTTCAACTGTTGGTGAAAAAACAATTTCTTATCAACAGATTCCATGCTATCTTTTCTTCTTATATAATCATTTCTAGATCAAATCTATTTTTGTATGACCACACATCTATCTCAACATCTTCATCACTGCTGCCCAATTTTTTGCTCTTATTGTCCCTACAACACCCAATATTCTCTAGTATATAATATCATTGGTCTTATAACAGTTCAATAAAACTTCCTTTTAAGTCCAGTAGGTACTATATGATCACAAATAACTTCAAATGGTCTCCATTTCAGCCATCTAGCTTGTATTCTATACATAACAGTAACACCTCCACCAATTTCATCATCATTTTATAGTATAGATCCTAGATGCATGAACTCCACTTACATTATGGTCTATCTTCAATTTTTACCTCCAAATCATTTCTAAATAGCCTCTTGTTAAAATTGTAGCGGCTCCCTAGTGTAGTTCAAGATTATAAAAATATGTTATATTCAATATTATATAAATTTACTAATAAGTATTTTGTAAATACTTTCTATGTCAATATTTTTTACATTTTATCACATATTTCAAGACTTGTTAAATCTACCCATTTTATATTAGTGGAATCATCAATCACGGTCTTTGGAACTTGTCCACACATTAAACCGGTGAAGGGTTTGGATCATTGAGCCACTTGCTCACCAATTAACTCAGTTATTTGTAATAAAAAAAATTAATTCACACATACACTTGAAATTAATCATTATAGAATATTTACAAAAATGATAGTACAAAGACTTACATTGTAGAACCATATATTTTTAAAAAGGAAAGGTTGACAATATTGTGAAGAACTTGAAGGGGGAAATACTCAGCATAGAACAAATTGACAAATTGTGTTGGGTGAAGAAATAGGAATTCTTGGTATTTTGTTAAAGTCACATGGATCAGGCCCAAAATTAAACTCTCCTCTACACACTACTAAGCCAGCTGAGATTCATCTCAAAGCCTCTGAATCAATGGACCACAGCATCTGCATGCACGCACACATATGGAAACCAGTTCAAATAATTTGGGCTTAATTAACGGATGAAATAATTGTTTAAAATACCTCACGTTCTGAACAAGAAAAAATATTATCTTGATGGGTGAATAGATTGACCTTAAAACAACGATTAATTACGATTGCTATAAAACAAGCTCATATTTTATCTTCGTTACCTTTTCTTAATAATGAAAAACAATTTGAAAAAAGTGAGTCAGCGGCTAGAACTACAGGTCTTGAAACAAAAAAAAAAAAAAGATTAGTCTTCAATTGAATTCAAATTCCAATCAAAACTCAAATCAAATGTGGATTGATGTTTTGTTCGAAAACTACGACAATCCAATTTTGATTATTGTGTTATATGTAAGAAAAAAGGGAATCGGTGAAGAAGAAAAAATCTTTTCTTATTGAAGGTGGTTTGTTCATTTTGCCGACTGTATGATTTTCCAAGGTAAAAGAACCCCTGACCAATTTGAAACAAAAATAAATAAATATAATTCCAATAAAGGGAACCACGGACCATATTCTTCTCCAATCTGAGTTTTGCTCACATCTCCAATGAATTCAAGGACATATTCAAATAAATTCTAAGATGGGATCTAATAGGGCAAAATACTTGTCTGATGTGTTTGATTCTCTGAATCAGACAATGATCTGATTCGCTGGGTTAGTAGGTGAAGAAACTTTTACAAAGTACCAGGACATACCTAACTCTCACCAAAAATACCAAAGACGCTGTTCCAAAGGAAACACACACTCTTGCCAAATTTCAGTAACTAAAATATACAGATCAGCACACTAACCTTCACTTTCCCAATATCAAAAAATATAAAGCACAAAAACCTTCATGTCATGATAGTAAAATCTAATAAAATCTTTCTACAACTAAATCATTTGCAATGCCTTCCTAATATGTATCAGATTTGATTATTGCAATACAAACAGCTAAAAAGTTATATAAAATTATTTCCTTGGGAGCAGAACAAAATCAAACCTGTACTTGGCATAATCAGCCTCCAGAAATCCTACTAAAACTGGGATTCCACGGCAAGCTATAAACATTTGCAAAGTCAAAGAGCTGCACCAAAGTGTCAAGAATCAATACAGCACACCATTTTCAAAATATTATGAAATCAAGATTATCATTGCAATACATTCAGACCTTGACTGACAAAGCTGCTGCAAAAAAAAAGCTGCTTCCATGCGAATTTCTCGTGGACGATCAGGTCCTGCAAAGCTCATCACCATGGGAATCTACCACGGAGTTTTGCAATAAAGCTTAGACATGTCATTCAGATATTTGAAGATAGCACTGATAAAAGATACAGAAGTGTCAAGAGAGACCAGATATAAAGGAAAATGTACTTCAGACCTTTTTGTTAGTGTTTAGCAAGGCTTATTGAAGGAAGAGCAACTTCATTTTATGCTGATTGTTTCATTACAAAAACAGAATAATATCTAATCCATTTTGAGCCTTCAATTTTCAGTCAGATTAGTCAAGTTCAAAAGATTGTTTGCTCATTTCTCAAGGGTTCAAACTCACCAATTGACTGTTTAATCCTCCCTATATGTATTGCAGCTAGCTTCAATAAATCACAGCTACAAAGTCAACTATTTAGAGTTTCCTCATGATATCAGGGTCGAACAGGCCTGATGATCTCCTGACTCCATGAGAACATATAATGTCAACTATGCCTATGGTGATGAAAAATCAGAATGCCCCTGCTCAGCCAAGCTAACGCCCCCTTACCTCAGATGACTTGGAAAATAGCCCTGGTGATGATGAACAGGAAAAATGATGTTGCCTCAGACTTCCAAAATGCCCCCCAGGATGGCAGCAAAACTCAGGGTTCAAACACAGTAAAGAGGTGCATGTTTTGGCATAGGATGGTTTTGAACGTTTAGGAGTGCCACTCCTTGCACTCAGGCTTTGAATGTTATGATAGCATGTCAGTGACAAAAATAAGGCTTCAGTTTAAATTATTCCCTGAATCCAATGGTCACCAACAGGCACATTGCTGGGCAGCACTTCAATGGCAATTTTCCATACTAGAGTTACAGCACAAAGAATTATAGGATTCATCAAGATTTTGACACATTACCAAATTTTTTTTTTTTTTTGGTTGACGGGGTGGGGAAGGCATCAAATTCAACAAACCCTAAGAAACAGTTTGACCAAACAAGTAAGAGTATAAAACAGAAACATACAAAAGGAGGGGATGAAGGAACATGCGTGGCACTTACCAATCCAACAAGACAAGCATTTTCTTGAAAATCAGTATTATCCTTGATAATTTGATTTACAAGCTGGAGTACAGAACATATTACCTGCAATAATGTAGCATGTAAGATTTCTGCACAGTGAGCATCAACTACACAAGTCTCATACATACAGTAATAAAAGTCAAATGAGATAACATGAGAAACATACACGAGTTCTAGGAACTTCTAGCAAGTCTGTAAGTGGAAGCAAACCATGCTGGGTAACAAAAACAATCTTCTGCTCTGGACGTTGGTGAAAGATAGTGATAAGTTTCTGACATGCAGTGACAACCACATCTTCTGATTCCTCTGGTCGCAATGACCCAACTAATTTGCTGAACTCAACAGCCTATAAGAATGATTGCAGTAAATACATCGAATTCTGAGTCAAAAATTATGAAGCACTGGGGAACCATTTCAAATTTTGCCAATATTGAAGCAACCTTCAAAGGACAATTTTTAAAGATTGTAGGCTCAAATGAACAGATATAGATAGATAATTACCTTGAATTAAAAAAAAAACAACAAAAAAACTTGCATGCTAAAGACTAAAAGACACTTTGTTAAACACTAACGGAAATCCTCTAGGTAACTTTTACAGAATTTTATAGGATAAGATGCTCCCAGTCAAAGGTTAAAGATGATGAACTCAGGGATTTCTTCCACCTTTAAAATTTGCATATAATCATTGTCCTTGTGATATTGCATATTATCTTCTGCTTTGCATCTATTTACCAAACATACACAAAGCATGATAGACAAGGAAGAAAGACTTAACGTGGCCAAACATGACAGCTGATCCAACATTGTTAAGTTTAAAACCGCTGATAGTGATCAGAGGTTATCGCCAAAAAAAAAAAAGAAAAAAGAAAAAAGTTTAAAAACAACTAGTTGGATAAATTTGTTAAGATTCCGGTCCAAGATAAAGTCATTTTATTTTGAAGGAAAATCAACAATATGACCTCTATAAATTACACATGCGAGTAGTTCTAGCAGAAGCAGTCAAAGAGTTGAGAGACAAGTAGATGGTTAGTTGAGAAAAGGGAATACTAAGCAATAAGGAGGCCTGACGTAAGTGCTCTTCCTACTTTCTCATGTATTAGGAAGAAATTGAAATATTTCATTTAAATTGTTCATTTAGAAATTCCCTGAAAAGCTAATCATAGGTTCTCTCTAGCGGAACAAAAGGGCCATTATATCAATAAACATTCTTTTCTTTTTAACAACAACTCTCAGGGAGGTTGAGTACAAGACAACCACTACAATCATGAACAACTGCCATGTCACCAATTTTGAAGCAAAGATGTTTCCTAAATATCCTAATTTTAACAATTTATGCTTGCCAACAACCAGCATACCTCCTCATGTGGAAACCATATGTGCATGACATATGGATGAAGCACCAGTCCACCACACATTGCGTGGAAGTTTAACATAATTTATGGACAATTGGAGCATCTTCTGTTTGGTCCACCATAAAGGATTTAGCATCATGTTAAGGAACATTTCATCCCAAAATCTTAAACCGTTTGGAGAAAGAAGGTCCAAAAATAATATTACTAATAACTCTAACAATACTTGCGGGAAAAAAGCAATTTATCAAAACATTCAAGAACATCCTAAATCAAAATTTAACCAAAGAGAATACATTGGTAGCCACACCACAGACTAGGCATAACAAACATTTCGTGCTGAAAAGGTATACCATTGTAAGAAGACATATCAACGTGATATTATCACAAAAAGATAGCTCAAAACATAAATTTGCTCAGTACCTGCAAAGGGAAAAGGTTTTCCCCAGGCAATTTTTCATCAAAAACCTGATTGAAAGCATACAGTAAGAGCAAGAGTCAAAGGAATGGAAAAAAAAAATGAATTATAAAGAAAGAACTTGATGCCCTAGTTTGAATATCATACCAGACCATCTATATCGATTACATCATCTTTTATGACTCCCATCATCAAGCGTAAAAGATTCCCGCCACCATTTTCCTTCCCAATTTCAATCTCCTTCTCCCACTGCTTCCGAGCAATAGTTTCCCTCAACTCTTTAGCCAGGTCACTTTTTCCACCATTGTTCATAGATGCATTATCATTCGCCATGTGTGATGTGGATGCAGATGTGGAAGCCTCAGCTGCAGAGTCTCTAGGGTGTTTATCTAATGGATGAAATAAATCATCTAAAGAGGCATCTCCAGGAGGATCGCTAAATCTGCTCAGCTCATTCCCTTCCAAAGAGGGAAGCATCTTCATAGTCTTCAAACAGAAATGATACAAGTCTGAGATTTTATCATTCATGAAAAAACAAAAGCAAAATACATTTTCTTGCAGAATTATAGCAAATAATTGAGGCCTACTGAAGCTTGTAAGCTCTTCAGTGGACTAGAGCTCCAATCTATTGACTACAATAAAACTACAGAGTTGTAGCTATAATACTTCAGACCCACCAACATGTCTTTTACAGCAACTAGACTAAAAACTTTAAAAACATCTTGAGATTAGACAAAACAGAATCAACAAGGATATGTGAGATCAAACCCCATCTTGAGATAACAGAATTTATATCCTACTATATTATTTAGTCATTCATGAACAATCTGAATAATGTAGTTTAACATATTTTTCATTCAATACAAGTTTTGCAAAATAATGCATGATGTTTAGAGTATTAAGTGATGGCCGTTTTGTTTCTTCTCTCAAAATAACTAATTGAATGCAAAGCTTTTAAAAATACTAGGATTTGAGTAAGATGCTAAGGACAAGACTTACGTAAAACTCTTTAAGGGCTAGCTATTCAACTCCTCTAATAATAACATATGGACAACTTCGACAACTTGGCATTCCAGTATTGATTTATGAAAAACATACTTAATATCACGTGCTTTATGGGAGTGAGTAAGATGCACTAATATCCCACAAGCTATGGGAGAATTATATGCTGTTGAAATATATGCCTTATTTGTCATTCTTGCACTTCCCTAGTTTCTTTTCCTTTTTATTTCCAGAGACCTGTATAAATCCATGTATTAGTTAATCAAAAATGAGTGAGAAACAGATTCAATCTCTTCAACATTCATGGTGACAATGGCTCCTCTGAACCTACAAGATTGCCAGGGTTAAAGACAAGTCAGGAAATCCTTCATCCTCTATAATCCTTCCCCTTTCTCTTACGCTATTTAGTTGGGGATTCTAATACCCTTCAAATCACCCAGCATAAATCCAACAGCAACGACACTAGGGAATGCTCTCAATCTGTCATACAAGTGATTGAAGTAAAGGCCAAGACTGGATATCCCACTGGTGCAAAAGAGAAGCCAGCTGAGATGGAAGCAGGATTCTCTCCTTGAATGGCCAAAACTACTATGAATCTATCTACCCCACAAAAGTGCCAAAGAAATATGAAATGCAGCAAAAACACTGCACTCAAACATGGGAGAATACTGGCCAATGTTTTGAGATTTGTTCGGCAATTGAACACCAAAAAGCAACGGACACTATCGGTCACTGACAATTATAATAGACTCACTGAATTTCAGCAATGGACCAATTCTATGAAATGAATTTGGTTGCTCTGGAAGAAGATTTGATGTATGAAAAATGATAGAAAAACGGAGGGCTTTTGACTTTCTCATTGGTCTCAACAAGGACCTTGATGAATTGCTACTGTTTGGGAGAGGAGATTTAAAAAAAATGAAATAAAAAAAGTGATAATTTGAGAGCCAAAGGAGTCCAATCAGGAAATAACCAAAGTTCTGTTCTCGCTACATTACATGCTTCTTGATCCAGTAATATCCCATAAGTAATGGGATAATTCTCTGACTTGTCTGTTTTTTCTCTCTTTCTTTTTGCATCCCTCGTATTAGGCGACTCCATGGAACTAGCATCTACTCCCTTTCTATTAATAGATATTTGTACATATCCAAGTAACAGTTAATCAGAAATGTGAAAGTGAGAATCCAATTTGATCCCCTTGGTTTTCATGATTCACGCAACCCACCCATCAGGCTGTGTAATGCGGCTGCTTCTGACAACACTGAAACTGAGGAAAGCAAACTTCACCTCAGAATGAAAAATAAAAGTAGTGTCATTAGAACTTACCGATTTTCCAAATGTGCCTTTGCTTTTCAGTTTGGCAAAACTCCATTTATCAAAAATGCATTTGCCCAAAGTTAATGTGATAAAAGTTAGTTATTTTAATGAGATTTATTGTAAATATATTTTTTCAAATATCAGTTTGGTCAACTAAAAGTTATTTTGATAATGCATAATGAAAAATACTATTAAATGTACATTTATTGAGAAGGACATGGATTTTATGATATGCAGTTTTTGAGAGGTAAATAATATAAAATTTGATGTGCTGAATAACATATATATTAAAAGATTGCATAAATAATATAAAATTTTATATGTTGAATAATATGTGTAATAAAAAAATGTCTAAATAATATAAAATTTGAAATGCTGGAAAATATATATAATAAAAAATTACAAATACTATAAAAATAAAAAATATAAATAATGCAAAGTTTGATATGTTGAACAAAAAATCATATAAATATTTCTAAGGGTGAAATGGGAAGAAGGTAGGTAAAAACTTAACTCCCTCATTATATGCAGCAAGTCAGCAACTACCAATTTCAAAAGCCAAAAGTTAATCCCAAAAGGTACTCTCAAGAGCTTTCTTCAAATGGGCCTTTGGAAAGATTTTGAATGGACTTTTGGAAGGGTACAAAATAACCAAACAGGCATTTAGTAAAAGTTGGCTTTTGAAAAGTCCTTTTGGGATGTCAAAAGTGCTAGCCAAACATAAACTCATAAAGCACGCCATCATTGAAACAAAATGAAAATCGTTTGAAGGAAAAATAAATAAATGGCAATGCAACATTTTTTGTTGCAAAGGAGGCATCAGAATGACAATAGGGGGCTGGAAAAGACACGGTAAGAATTGAACCGTTGAAATCATCACCTCAATCTGAAAGACTGAGGCTGCGGCCATCTATGGTATAAGCTCATTAGCGACATTATTATACAAAACAATTACAAAGTTCTTCTCTAACATGATGTGTACGTAGCATATAAACATATACATCTTTAAAGGGGCAAACAGGAAGAAATAATAGCAGCACACAAAGCAATATAATAGTAGAGAATTAGAAATGATATTCAATTCTAAAGTACCAGAGATGATTAGGCTTTATAGCTGACTCCTAGCAAGATTTTAGATCAACTAGGCGATTAAGTTAACCTACTTTACCTTTAGGGAACCATTGTCCTGACCTCTTGGTCCAAAACAGAATGGCATACTGCCACTGGTGACAGAGCTACCTTTTACCCCAGGCTTTCTACTTATCCCTCTTGATTCTGGAGATCCAACTTCTCCATGCATCATGACTTCATTACGGTCTTTAGTATTGGGAATGACATGATCTGCACTCATCTCAGTGGTAGCAACTTCGCCATTAGAACAGGGCTTACTAGATCCAGTTTGTAGAGACAACTTCTCATGAATAGCTAAAGTGAGAACTTGATCTGAAAACACATCATCCTGCTTCTCTGTTTTCTCAATCAGAAAATCAGAATCTGAACCTACATCCTCGTGATGTTTGCTGCCACCAACAACCTCAATTGACAAGTCTTTCAATGGGTTCTAATACAACAAAATTGAAACCAGTAACATAAGCAAATATAACCAAGCTGCTTCAACCACTGAGGTAAAGGCACTAACCACTTTCTCCACAGATGAGCCTTCACCAGCACTCTTCTGATCATCACCAGAAGCTGCTACATCTGTGGAATCATCTTCCTCTATATTTCTGCATGAGGTAACTTACTAACTTTTTTGTACAACTCACAAAACTACAACAATTATATAAACTGGGAGTGAAAAGCATTTTGTCATTATTCAAAGATGTATATGTGCAAACACACTCATACTAACACTAAACTTGGAAAAATCCCAGTTCTAGAAGAAGTTCTCTCCAGAAATATTACATACACCAAATTAGTCAGCAGTTGACATATTTTAGAGCCATTGCGAAATATTTCAATAGTGCTGAAACAAAAAGAACTTGATCCTACTCCATTCTTCTATAAGAATCGAGATCAGGAAAGTTTTAAAAATTAATTAGCAGCTAATCAATAATGGAACATGATCAACACAGCAAGAAAATAAGGTTCATTCACTTCAGTTAGGCTCAAAATCAGGGAAGGGGTGAATGATCCATCCCAACAGAAAGAACATTCAAAAAAGGCGTTAAATGTGAGCTCTCTCTCATTTAAAAGAATTGGATTGAGAAAAAGAAAGGTTAGTATAAACAAGAACATTATATAAACTAAAAATGAAAAGTAAAGGGACAATGATGAACGGCAAAAGAACATCAATACAGTAAATGAAATTAATATTGATATTTGGGGTAACCTGATCCTTACATATTGTACGTGTTAGTTTTCTTCTTCATGACAAATGTGCTAGATCCACAGGGAATCATGAATGTTTGTTTTCAGACGGTCTCCAACTGATGGGAGACCCAAAAATAAATAAATAAATAAAAGCTATCCAGTAAGGCAGAGAATCAACCCACTAAAGCATCCTATAGAAAACACACACTACTCCATGTTAGACTAGAAATCTTGAACTACTTTGGTCTCCATCAAAATTGACTATCATTAGAGAGCAACATCTTAACGTTGCACTTTCTGCCACTTCACTTAACTTCCTCGAGATCAAAACCCTTTACAAGTAGCCTTTTCTAGAGTCAACAACCACCAGCTTTGATACCAATAGAAGGGTACCTTAGTGGGGTGAGGAATCTCCCCCTAAAGCAGGATGTTAAGATGTGGAAACAAACCCACTCAAGTTCCTCATAGAACAATCCATATTACTTAATATAGGGCTGCAGATCCCACTTGTTGGTCTCCGCCAGTTTTCTACATATAATGGAATTTGGTCTAGGAATTATTGCATATTTGCATTCCAGATTGAATTTGGTTTGGTCTCAAGACCAGGTTTGTTGTACTTCTTCATGCTTCTTCAATCCTAGGAATTTAACAGTTATAGAAGTTGACTCACAATTAAGCTATTCTCTGAGCTGAGGAAATAATCAATTTGTTAACACTGATTCATTGAGCCAAAAGTCAGGCCCCAGAGACCATGAAAGTCATTATAAAAAGTCCATGCATTGGCATTGCTCCAGGCAAACTTTAAATTCCAATACAACCAAAAGGCAGATAAAATTAGCAACCAACATGATTTTACGGATTAAAACGTTGGAGAAAAGGAGATGTAGCTTGCACCAATATAAATCCTACAGTAACAGCATGATAAGGTCTCAAACTATCCACCTTAATGTTCCACTGTGTCGAAGAGATGACTGCAGCGCACGTCTACAATTTTGTATCCATGGGTGAGATAACAGCGTCTTAGCATCAGGCCTTTGTCTAGCATCCTGACATAAGCAACAGATATGAATTCAAGATTTAGTTACCGACTAGATGTAAGCCCCCCTTGCCTTGAATGGAGTCTCAAAAATAAGTTGCACTATTCATGACTTATAAATAGTGTGGCTCCCTATAAATTTTATATATCAATGTTATGAATATTGAACTTATCATTGAACCAGCAGGCACCAATTCAAAATTCACCAAGGATCCATTTGGATTAACATTTGATAAAATTGATTTATATGATTGATTATGAATGTAATTGATTGTGTTTTGTGGTAATTGATTTATAAGAATATATTTGAGTAAAATTGAAAAGCAAAATTGAAAGGTAAAACCATAATTTTATGAAAATATATTCAAACACCCCAAATGCCTATTTGGATAGCATTTATAATCAATTTTAGAGACCAAAACTATAGTTTTGTGAAAATATATCTAAACACACTTATTACATGCAAAAATCAATTATGAACTCAAAATCATAGTTTTCTTAAAATACACAAACACCCTCATGTCAAAATCAATTATAAATCCAAAATCATGGTGTTCTTAAAAATAACCAAACACCTCCATACATGAAAAAAATCAATTATGAACCCAAAATCATGTTATCTCAAGCTACTATTACATGCTTTTCAATCCAACTTTTCAATTGTACTTTCCTAAAAATTTATCCAAAAACCATATAAACTCTATTTTATAAATCATGATTTCGAGTTCATAATTGATTTTGGCATGTATAAAAGTATTGGAATATTTTTAAGAAAACATGGTTTTTGGTTCATAATTAATTTTGAAATGTATAAATTGAACTATGAACAAATTGTGGTCAAACTGATCATAATTAGATTAGATATTTTTAATTATATAAATATGCATGGTAATATTGATATTGACATTCATTTTAGTATATTATATTAAAAAAACATCTAATTGTAAATTGAATTTCAAATAAATGCAATTCCCAATAAGCTCAATCTCCAATTTTTAATCAAAACGGAGAGTTTTAAGCCATTAGTAATATGTTACACCATTATGATTTCCTATGCTATATATCTTCCTTTAAGACAACTTTGCAATGCAAGGGGTTTTCTTAAATTTCTAAAACAGCTTCAAGTTCTCTAAGGTGATGGACTTTAAGATGTCTAAAACCACAATGTACTAAGACATTGATGCTTTAAATCACAATGTACTAAACATATTTTTAAATCACAATGTAATGGAGACTTTCCAAGCACAAGATACCTAAACATAAACAGAACAAACAGATTGTACTAAAATGTAATTTAGCCATTAAAAAGAAAGCAAAGACAGAAAATGGTAGTAATATCAATAGTTTGAAAATTAGCTGCACAAAGTAATCAAAGTTATTGTTGTACCCGTTTTTTTCATTTTATTGATAGACACTCAACAGAAGTTTTTTATATCATTCCAAGCACATATGATTCAAGGGGGGCTGTCCCACATTATACCTACCCAAATATTGCTTGACTAACAAATCCTATTCCCAATAGGAAACACGCATAATGTATAGTTAGTTCTCTACTCACAAATTATGACACTAGAAGAATTTTGCAGTTTTTCCCATTTTACACTAAACATGGCACATTCAAGAAATTCCTAAAACTAACAATAACAACTAAATACTACAAGGGTTCGGAGTTAGCAATGGGATACAGAACAAAAGACTGAAAAAAAGAGGAAAAGTAATACGCAACCAGCACCAGTCCCCTGATCACAAAGTGCGCACACAAAGAAACACCTGCAAACCAATAAGATAAAAAAAAAAAAAATTACCTTCTTAAAGCATTGACGCAGAAAATCAGTGATATCAGGAGACAGGCTATCAGGAATTGGAGGATGTTCATCCTGAGGGAACAGTGGAAGGGTAAGAGCAAGTTTGAGTGCTTCCTAGAATATATTTTGAACCATGAATTCACCTAATAGGAGAATGACAAATAAGGACCTTGTAAGAACATTAATGTCAAATTAAGATGTTTCAACACTGATGTTCTCATGTTTCAGTACTCTTTCTACCATGTTTCAGTACTAAAGTTTCTAATTTGACATTAATGTTGTTGCAAGGTCCTTACCTGTCATTCTCCCATTCATTAATTGAGTATCTTTTGATCTAATGTTTATTCAGTTTTTCTTCATTGCTTTAGCATTGTTTGGGAGGATAACGTGTCCTCCATTGAGTCCTTCTATCTCATCTTATCAATCATTTATTTTTCCATAAAACATTTGATTATTTCAAGAACACATAAAGAAAACTGCAAATGATCAAATTCACTGATTAGGTGATCAAGTGTCAGGTTTTATTTGACCAAATCAATACAAGAAAGCAAGGATAGTGGAGGCACACCTGAACAATACGAAAGAGAGCTGGCATAGGCTGTAGATCATAATACGGAGGCACACATGTAAGGAGTTCAATAACAGTACAGCCGACACTCCAAATGTCAGAAGCAGCACAAACCCCCGACATTTCTATAACCTGAAAAAGTAAACAAGATCCATCTGTTGAGCTATCATATTCAAGCTATATGCTTCACAAACTGAGCTCCTCCTATAATCAACCAATTAACCAACTTTAAATAATGATACAAACTGATATAGATAGCACAATTGACCAAACCAAGTGTGTAAAAAGCAATGCAGATATGCGTTGCAGATTGATAATACAAATATCATACAAGTCAAGATAAGTAATTATCCATTGAATCAATGCCTAAAAGTGAATTAAAAACAGACAATTGATTTTGCTTAATAGAAAAGGAGAGTGCCATTTAAGAGAGAATAGTACCAAAACAAAGAGCAAGAGATACTCCTCAATCAAAAGAAAGACAAAAGAGGAAAAAGGAATCCACATTAATCAAAACAGCATTTTAGTCCCTCTGAAAATCCAAAAATGACCAAATACCCCCCCCAAAACCCTAAAAAACGTTCACTTTAATACACATGGAGGTCATTAAAGTGATCATTTCCCTCACAGAAGAAAGAAGAAACTTTGATTAAAAGCTCTCATATTCTGTTACAGCACCAGCATCCTGCAAAAAGAGCACACAGCCATAACACACATGGACATCAACTGGACAGCTCAACTCTCATTAAAATGCAAGATAACCTATTCCAAAACCTGTCAAGCCACTTCACAATATAGAAGAAGATTATTATTCATCATTAATGTCTGAAACACACCAAACAAATTTTTTGAGACATAACTGTATTGGGCCATAGGGTCTATAGAAAATCATTCGTATTAAGTACCAGTTCAAACAAAAGCCTCTACCTTAAAAGGAGCCATGATTTTCCAGAAATAATAGATCAACAACAAGCCTTATCCCATCATATGGGGTCAGCTACATTGATTGCATGACGTCATTGTGCTCTATCAACAACCAAATCGTTGAGTATATTGTTAACCAAAAGGTCTTGTTCAATAACTTCATTGAGTGTTCAATAACTTAATAGATCAAAAGAAGAAAAATGCAAACTAGGACGACAAATCAGAAAAATAAAGAAAGAAGAACAAGCATACCAACCCAAAGAATTCAAACTCCAAATCCTTCTATTGGGCAAAGAAGAAATTGTTAGTTGACATGAGGATTATGCCTAAATTGTCAGATCAGTATTTGTTACTATCATATCATTTGTTTTTCAGTTTCATTTTCTTATCTTTTTTCCATAGCATTAGTTTTTTAAAAGTTGCTCATTTGACAGAATTAGAGCCTGTCTTGTTGTAGTTTCTGTTCCTTTAACATCCAAGTATACTTTGAGAATAAATTTAACCAAAAAAAAAAAAAACAGCCAGACACAGCATTGAAGCAGCGGTCTCTCTTCTACTCTTACTGTTGTTTCTCTCTTTTACCATTAATCAACAACTATATCACTTTGGTAGGGCAATTCTAGAGCCGAATCAGGTTTAACCCCAACCAAGTGGCCAGCCTGGATGACATGATACCTGACAAGATTGGACTAGGGCAATACTGAGTCAGTGTTATCCTGGTATAAGAAAAATAAAAAAGGATAATACTAATTAATGATCAATACAATTCACTCCATCTAAAATACATGCCCTTCGGACCTGTTTGGTATCAAGAAATTTGGGCTCTGGAACAGAAGAGGGGGAGGGAACAGTCAAGTTCCCATGTTTTTTGCACCTGAAACATTCCTAGAAACCCCAATTTTCCAATTTAACACTAGAAAGCATCTTACATAGGAGGTCCTCGAGATTTTAGCAGGCTTCCTGGGAACAATAATTTCTTGAACCAATTACCCACACTTTTTTTTCATCTTCAACAGCCAACCTGTTAGACAAGAGATGACCTGATCCCATTTCTCCATCCCAAATCCAACACCAATGAGGTGTATGAACACTATGAGGAGCACAAACATCACCTCAACGCTGTTCAATGCCACTATGGTCAGCTTCCGCTCATGAGTAGTACAGTGTCACAGATGCCATTCATACAATTCTCGCAAATGCTGCAAATACTTCAGCAAACATAGTGGAGACTGACAGTGTAAACAACGTTAGTGAACAAGATCAATGTAAGGGCAGCTCCTCATTCATTGCAGCTCTTCCATCCGTTGCAGATCCAAGTTTCATCTCTTTTTTTATTGTGCATTGATTCAAAAGAAAAAATTTGTTTTATTATGAGGGTATATGGATCTATTGGTTTTTGGATTTCTATTGATTGGGTTTATGATCTATGAATTTGTTTTCTTATTATATTTTTGTTTTTGAATGGATCTGATTTAGGAATTATCTGATGAAGAAGTCAACAAGAGGAAGAAATGCAGGGTACTACTGTCTTTTCAATATTTCGAAGCTTCCATTCCATCAATTTAGTACTCATGTTCATGCCAAGCAAAACTGGTATCAAAATTCCATTATTTTTCCTGACAAACTGAAGGGGCTTTTAAAGCTCCTTTTCAATTCCTTTCCTATTCTCATTCCCTTTCATGTTCCCACTCCATCAAAAATCCTTCTACCATACCAATGGCCCCTTAATGTCAAAGTCAAAATGTAGCATTCTTCAAAATCATCAATACTCGACAATTATAAATTATATTTACATAATACAACAAGACTTTTCAATATAGATTGCATAAAATTAAAAAGACCGAAATTGCAAAAAGTCTTCCAATAATTATAAAATTAACGATGAAATTGAGAATGCCTAGATTCGAGCTCATGGCTTGACTTGTGAAACACAATTATATAAATTCAGCCAATATTTATAAAAACAATACATACAATACACACAAACACACACACATATCCACCCAAGTGATTAGCCCAACCAAATTTTAGATTTTACTCATTTTTGCCATTACTTGATTTTGGCCTGGCCGGTCAACCAAACCAATGAATCTCATTCAGGCTTTTAGAGAAGGGAAAATTTCCAGCAAATTCATCACGTTGACTGGTTAAAAAATCAGAAACAGATGAAGTATGGAAAGCAGATAATCAATAACAATGATAAAAAGGACCCAGAAAAGAAGAATTCTCAGTCTAATGGCCCTCCTAAAAGCAAAACCAAGTTTTGAATAATGCCAAATGGAATAAACAACAACATTGGCAAAATATAAATATATTTCTATATAAGAAAAAAAAAATGATCAGTTAAGCATATGAGAAACAAATGCATAAATGTGAAGGATAACCATTAAAACTCTGGCACTCACTACAGATAATTTGAAAAGCAACAAAATAACAAGCTATCTAAACAAGCAATTCAGGAACAGAATATCATGCAATTAATACCTCTGGAGCCATCCAATATGGAGTTCCAACAACTGAATGAGTATTAACATCAGCCTCAGTCAACTTTGTTGCAACACCAAAATCAGCAAGTTTGACTAGACCCTGCAAGCAGAAGTTTGATGTATTTAGTAGAAGTAGAAATTGCAGCGAAATGCATGCAGTTGGGCGAAAATGGCACCATTATATAACAACAACAAGCCTTATTCCACTAAATGAGGTTGGCTACTTGGCTACATGAATTGTACGACTCTATTGTGCTCTATCATTTACCAAGCTTTTAGAAATGTTGCTAACCAAGAGGTCTTGGTCAACAACTTTTATAAGTGTTCTCTTTGGCCTTCATCCACCCCTCTTAATAAGGTTCAAAATTATCTATTCCTTTTTCCCACTAGTGCCTCCCGCAGTCTTCTTTGTGCATGTCTAAACCATCTCAAATGATTTTTTACCATTTTTCCCTCAAAAGGTGCTACACCCACTTTTTTCTCATATGTGCTCATTTTAGATTTTATTATTATGTGTATGTCCGCACATCCATTTCAACACTCTCATCTCTACTATTCTAATTTTATGCTCTTGTTATCCCATTAAAGCCCACTATTCACTACCCTATAACATAGTTGGTCTTACAGTAGTTTAATAAAACTTCTCTTTAAATTTATTAGGTACCTTACAATCATAAATAAATTCTTTAGCCCTTCTCCAATTAAAATGGCACGACTATATACACAATAAATTTACAATGACTCTTTGTTTTAGCTTTGATGTTTATGGTGATAAGCCAAAACGTAGACCATGTAAAAGAGTCAAGAATAAAGGTGAAGTGCAAGGAAACCAATAATGACAAAGTACAAATTTATATCAAGTACTGAAATTATATGCCAATAGCTAATAGCCATGTGTTCAATAACAGAATAACTAAAATACAAGACAAAGACTTCATCTACTTCTCTTCTATTTTTCACAGACTTGTGTCACAAGTAACAAAATAAAGCACAATTTGCAGTCATTCTATAGAAATTGAATCATGTGACAGCTTGTCTGTAATGGAACCAGCGGTCAAGATTGGACAGTTGGCTGAGCCTTGTTTCAAGTCTCAAAGCTAGAAAGGATTAGAGTGCATCAAATGCAACATGCACGTTTGCAATCACAATAAAATGGATAGAGTTTTGAATTCAGTTGCCAAGAACAACTAAATATAAACTCAATAACTCAGTGAAATCTTAAATGGAAGTATGGAACAACTAAATTCAAAGAAGAGGGATTTTTTGTTTAATCAATCCTTTATTTGTATTGTGGAATAAAGCATATTGATCATATCACAAAGCAACAAAAAGCATCACCAAAGGACAGCCTTTAAAAATGAAGACAAAAGCAGGAAGGGTAAGTTGAGGAGGGGAGGGGGCCTTGCCTCTTTGGTTGTCAATATGTTTGCACCCTTGATATCCCGATGGATGACACCCTGTTCATGTAGGTAAACCAAGCCTTCCAATACCTGTCTCATCATACAATTAATTCAGCTTATATTCGCTAAATTGTTAAATCCTAGACAAATAGCAGAAATCAGTAATATCTGCACAAACCTGAGCAATATAAACAGCAACCAATGATTCTGGAAAGGGTCCAAATTTATTTGGCTTGATAATATTAGCAAGTGAGCCATTCTCCACGTACCTATGCAGTTGAAAACATATTAAATTCATTAATGGGATTAGGTAGCCATCAAATGATGCAACGATTATAGCTTTGCACTGTGAAATAGAGTTGAGCTAACTTACTCAAGAATGATGTGAAGGTGAGTCTTTGTCTTTAAGGATCCAAGATATTTTACAATGTTTTTATGGTTCAAATTCTGCAAAATAAAAATAATTTCCAAAATGACATTAGATGATAAGCATTCCATAGATACTATCCACCAAGAATGCATCATCAAGTATGGAAAGGTCAACACCAATTTAATTCTCACTCAAAAACTTTAAAAATCGGTAGCCAGTACAGTGCTTTATTAGCTGTGACTGTTTGCTACAATTCTATCCCATGACATATTTAGAGCAAATATAGGTCCCCAAAGATACATACATTCCCCTCCAGCCAGACTGAACAATCTTGAGAATGAATTGAGTCTATTACCATAAAAGAACAAGCACATATATAGGGTAAGGTAGGCAACATTCCTGCCATTCAATCCCCGAAAATCAGCAAGAATATATATGAAAAATAATGCTAATACAGATCCCAAGACATCAGGGATGATATGGTCAGAATATCTACCATAAATACAAGATAAAAAAAGGAATAATATCTGAGGAATATTGATACTAATATTCTGCCAACACAGACAAGCCAAGAAATCCCATAAACAACATATAAACGTGTTGTTATTTATAAGTAAAACATGCAAGCAAGCAAGGAAGCAAATACTTAATAAATAATGTATAGTATCTACTCAAAAGTAATAATGTAGAGCAAATAAAAGAATCAGAAAAAGAAAAAAATACCTTTAATAAATCGATCTCTTGCTGAAACATTAATGCATCCACCCAGTGATAAGAGTAACCAAAGCAAAACAACAGCCAATCAGTGAAAATCAAATATCTCATTAAAGCAGCAATATGACAAACGAATTAAATCAAATTATGTTGATCACAAAGCATTGAACCATTGAACTCATATAGCTGCTCTCCAGCCAGAATTATATTAAAACACCTCAGTGAAAACCAGAACATTAAGAATCCAAAAACCTTTTATTTTTAAATTATTAGCTCCAACAGACACACAATGGGAGAAAAGGAGAGGAAAACATTTTAAATGTCCAGAAGGCACTTTTTGTACCATGATGATGTTGAGATCTTCCTGAGCAATATTCTCCAGAGAAACTTGCTTAATTGCAACAAAGTCCCCATTTTCTAGGTCCAAACCTTTGTAAACTCGACCGTATGCTCCTTTCCCTATCTCATCTCCAAGCATCTACTCCAATTTTCACATGCAAATCAAAAGACCAATTAAAACAAAAATACTAACTACAATAAACCAAGCCTTGATTATGGCAAACTAAACTGACAAAAGAGGCACAGTAGAAAGAACCAGTCAATTGATCTAATATAAGACATGGATATTCACCAATATACATGATATATTGAAATAAAACTTCCTTTTTTTTAAATAGGCAACTGAAATCAGATATGCGATGTCAACCATCAACATTTTCAGATTGAAGAACCAATATCTAAACTTCCTTAGATAGCATTGGTTTCAGAAAAATATATATTATCAATTAACTTTGCATTCAACCATATAATTAAAACAAACCAAGAGTAAGTCCATCACTTGTTTCAAGATAAAAATAAAAATTTACAGCATATGATCCTTCTAATCAACAACAAAAAATAACCTTATCCCACTAAATGAGATCGACTACATTAATTGCATGGCACCATTGTGCTTTTTCAACAATCAAATCTTTGAATATATTGTTAACAAAAGATCTCTTTCAATAACTTCATTGAACGTTCTATTTCGTCTTCCTCTACCCCTCTTAATAGAAATCAAAATTGTCTATTCCACCTTCCTCGCTTGCATCTCCAACAACCTCCTTTATATATATCCAAACCATCTTAAATGATTTTCTACCATTTTTTATTTAATAGATGCCACGCCAACTCTTTCTCACAAATGATATTATGAATCTTACCTTTTTTTGTATGCCCACATATTCATCTCAACATCCTCATATTTGCTACCCTTACTTTATGCTATTGTTGTCCATTTAAAACCCAACATTTACTACCATATAACACCATATAACATAGTTGGTCTTATAATGGTGTGATAAGACTTCCATTTAAGTTTATTAGATACTCCCTCCGGTCCCTATAATATGGCACTTCTAATTACCTCACTGAAACTAAGAAAATGTGATTAAGTCATCAATTTTGTCCTAAAACAAAATAAATTTTCAATTTTATCCCTATTTAAATGAAGTTTTTTCAAATTTACATTACATTCTATCTCATAATTAATGGGTTTACATTGGGAGCAAAGATCAAAGATCCTTCTAGAAGACGACTAATAATAGCGACCGGAGGAAATACTTTTCAATCACAAATAAATCATGTAGCCTATTTCTATTTGAGCCACCCAACATCTCCGTCAATTTCACCATCATTTTGTATAATGGCTCCAAAATATTAAACTCGGTCACTTGTGGTTTCCAATTCAACCTTCAAGTCACTACTAACTTGTCTTTTATCAAATTGGCAATGCATACATTTTGTCTTACTTCAATTCAAGCAGAAACCCTTCAACTCCAAAGTTCTTCTCCGTAACTCAAGTTTATAGTTAATATCTTCTTTTGACTCCGCAATGAAAACTATGTTATTAGCTAAAAGCATGCATTTGGGGAATTCTACTTGCATGAACGAAACTAAGTGCCCATTTAGATTTCGGTTTACATCTAACAAACGTACATCTGGAGAATCCAACTATTTGTTGGATTTAACAAAAACATATCCCAGATGTGGTTTAGATGTACTTTTAAGGGTTACCCAAACAGGCTCGAAAACTTTAACAATATTTGCCAACACAGAGAAGTTCAGCCGTGGTCACAACAACTAAAAATATTTAATAGCATGTCCTTGATGAAAGCATCTCTGAACCACCACTGTTGAAACAGTAATATCCTCTTTCACCTTTGAGTGCTGACACAACTATCTGCATTGACAACCAAATAGCATAACCTAGTGCCATGAAAGTTATAGAAGCTGCTGATGCCACCTCATTGTCCACTGGACCACCTTAACCGCACCATCATTATTCTAACCACCAAGTTCATAAAAACTTTGAACCACCTCTTTTTACCCCTCTCCTGCCATCAACTCCATTTCTAATCACTACCGGCCAATTGCCCAGCAGCTTTCCACCACACCGCCCTATGTCAACATTGCCATGATTCCACTATCAGATTTTCGTTGTTATATAATAGTCGTCAGAGTTTCAAACCAGTACTACCATACAGCAAGTGAATCCTGGACGATTCTGCATTCTGGACTCGGACAAAGAAGCATCGTCCCCTCAAAAGTTTTAGCATGATCAATTCACTAAATTCGCTCATGGCTTTGGTTACCAATTTCCCACGAAAGAGAAAGAGAGCAGGAGAGAAATAAGTATGTACAATATATATAGAGAGGGGGAGGTTCACTAGAATGACAGTGGAACTACAGTGCATAAACAAAAACAAAGATTACATGAGTCAGCCGCTAGACTGAAGCAGAGTGAAAATCAGAATGCAGCTTAAAAAACTCATTAAACAGCATTATTCAGGCCCCGAAGTTTATCAAACGATATGAAGATACGCAACTGCAATTTTTTTCAGTTCTTTTTAAAGCCACATCTAATCAAGAACCAAACAGAGACTAGATCAATTGAGATCGGATGAATCCAAAAGCAAATATGGAGAATGAAAAGCGAAAAATTGAATCAGCGTAGATATTTGAGGCAAATTGGTCGCGCTTACATATTTATTGTCAAGGGTCTTGGATTTGATAAAGGCGGAGGTGGGGGTCTGACGTGACATGACTGTGAAAGTGGAGCAGCTCCGTGAAACCCTAGAAATAGTGCATGGGACGAGGAGAGAGGAAGCGATGAAGATTCCGGCGGGGAGAGAAAGCGGGAGCAACCAGCCAGAGATGGAGGCTCCGATTGGCAGGAATTAGACTTTGTGGGAGCTCTGGAAATGGAAAATAGAAATTGAATTTGAAAATTAAAACGAAATGAGAATGGGCCCACCAAAGGGCGCTCCAACTCAGCGCACGAGGATATACTTTCTTGTTAAAATGGTCAAAATCGAAAGTTCTACCTGCGGAATGACAAAGGCCCCTGAGCTATATACAGCTGTTAACACGCTCTTGCCATCCCATCTTCTAAAGGCTGCGTGATCAAACATCCCAGTATCAGCGTTTAAAAAAAAAAAAAAAAACTCAATGCCACACTGAAGCCAGTGCAGAAAAACAGTTTAAGTTATGTCAGCATATAAAAAGACGGCCGCAGCCAATCATTGAGATATCAAAAGTTTGAACTTCCATATTATAAGTTGTGGTTTGGTAAGCCAATCAGCCAGTAGAATTTTTTACCTAGAATCGTACTGGAAGGTGATTGTCTAATTTATCACAATGAGTTTTTTTATTTTATTGATAGTTTCAATAAGCAAATGATTGACAAAGAACTCATTATAAATGAGTGTAAGTGTTTCTGTAAAGTCAAAATAAACATTAACTTTGTTGAATTTTTTATTTCAATAAATGTTAAGACCTACAAAAATACTCATAAACTTAACAATTGTGCTTATCCAAGGTATATAGATAAAGCCTAAAATCTAGTTCCCTTTGTCATCTCAGATGAGTCCACCATAGGCAACGGCACCATAGTTATTTACTGATTCATCAATGTCAAGTCTAACCTACCTTCTTTTAAGGGGCATCATTTTTCTTTTGATCTATCACTTTGAGAAGACAAACAAATGAGTCTTAATTGAAGGCTAAGATCACTAAAAATATCTTGGGTGCCAGTAAAAGTAATATGTTTGTTAGTGGTGCTTTCTTTAAAATAGATGTTTTTACATCTTTCCTTCCTAATGTTCCAGTATACATGGGTGAAAAGTTTGTGCCAATGAATCTTTCTTGCACTTGGACTTCCTACATCATTCTTTACATTTCAAAGTATCAATTTCAACAATGGGAGAGAAAAGAAAGTATTAAGTTTAGTTTGTTTCATTAATTTCATCCAAATTTCTTTAAATTTCCTACAGTCTCTCAAAATATGGATAGACGAATCCAAAGAGTTACAACCAAAATGGCATGTACTGAGGCAAGGTTGGCATCGTTAAAGTGGGTAAACTTGGATTGTATGTTATCCTTGTGATGTCCTTCTAACATTACTAAACTATACCCATGCTTATCATATAGGTAATTAGAAGTCTTTAAATCTTTAAATTACCATAAAACACCAATATTAAAAATATAGGAAACAATTCTTTTTAAGATAGTTGGATTCTCAAGAATCTTTTGAAGACATATTAAAACACTCAAACATTTGTATTTATACGTAATGAAAGCATAAGAATGCATAAATACCATGAAAGAGAAAATAAGGGCAAAATAGTCATTTTTGCCCAAAATGGACCATATGTCGCAACATGTGGTATAGAGCCACAAGTCCATGTTTTGTGCCATACGTAGATATGCACATGACAAACTTTGCTGTCATGACAATACTTCTGATACAAACTTTCAGCATATGTCATTTCCACATATGATATCCAATTGAAGTGATTTAAGCCTTCACATGAAGCTTATTTCACAATCTAACTAATGATTCAAGTTTCATTTTAATCCAACATTTCTTTTAAAAATTGAATGCTTAGATGTAAAATGACCATTTTATGTCATTTTCTCACAACCCACCGTCCCAAATCAAAACCCTTGTGCCATTAGCTACTTTTAGGGCCTTGACTACATTCAATAGGACATATTTCATCTAATTGAACAATTTTATCATAAAAATACGACCATACACAAATTTGGCCACTAAAATGCCCTTGTCACATTGTAATAGGGCTAAATCCATACATTCCACCAATTCAAAACACATAGCATTACACTTGTAATAGCATCTTAGCCCATTATCACAATTCACACATTTTCACATCTCAGGGCTAAAACACTTATACATAGCTACAAATACAACTAAAATCACATGTATGCATTCCTATGGCACTTTATAAACTTCAATATTTACAACAATTCAAACCCATTATACAAACTCTGAAATGGCAAAGCAACAGTTCTACTACTTTTGGCCTTAATCTTTCCCCTTACTTCTATTCACATCAGAACCTGTAAAAAACAATAACCACGGAGTGAAATAGAGTCTTAGTAAGTAAAATATTCTAAAATTATCTATTAACAAGTAAATAAAACATTCATTTCCATAAACAATAATTTTTGTGCACATGTCTAACTGAATCTCTATATCCACTCCAATTAAACCCATAGGCTCCACTGGACTAATTATATGAAAATTGATCTGAGTATACTTTTTGTGGTAGAATCACCTAGCCAAATGTGTCCTGTCCTACTTTAGACTATGGATTCCCCCTACTACACACGCAATTAAGGTGTCATTACTCCAACATCGCATCTCACAGATGTTAAGGAACATAATCTCTAACACTACACCCATATGAGCAATGAGGAGAAGAATCCTCAATCATCATACCCCTCAAGGTACTAAGGAGAATATAACACTGCCATACAGACTTCTACACTACTCCACCTATAGTAAATTCCCACCCTTTATCATGATCATGCATTTTCACATAATATACCATCATGTATACACATGTATAAAATAAGTCACCTAGTATTTAGTTTTTAAAACAACTTTCTTTAATTTATAAATTAAATCCCTTTTCCATTCAAAATCATGCAAGTTTTTACATCATGCTAATGAATAATATCACATTACATAATTTACTTATAAACAATTAAACTAGCTAATGGATAGAATGAATTATTTGGTTACCTCAACCTTCTATTTTTAGAAAGGGTTACTCACGGTACTCTTGCTTTCTTTTATAACACTTGATCAAGACAAACATGTGGACTACATCAATCTACACAATTTAGCACTATATGTCAATTTCAAATTGACCATAAATACGTATTGCCATAATTAAACTAAGTTAAGTCCACTTTAATACTTATCCACTTTCAATTAGCAACCTTAACTCCAATTCACCTTCCCTTGCCTTCTATATCTTCTATAAATCCTCATATAATTCACATAAGCATTCTCCCACTTTCTTAAACTCTTTAATTTGATTAAATTGAGTTTATAACTTCTAGGTTCCACCTTTAACCACTAGACCAATTGAAAAATCTTAATTTAACTCCTAACAGTGCTTTTACAACTATTGAGTTGGAAAACAACTTCTTAAAACTCCTTAGTTTAATTTCTCTATATCACAAACTAAAAAAATTGGGGTAGAATGTGAGCATAGGGTAGTATAAAACTTATTCAACGAGTTATAGGTTAGAACTAACTTCAAGTACTTCAAAACTTCATGCCTTTAAAGTTAACTCTTTATGTCATGTGACACAGTGCATATTGCATATACTGCGGCGCGTGGCACAGTGAGAAAAATCTCACTGTAGCACACCCACTTTACTTTAGATTGAAATTCTTCCACTCAATCCTGATCATACAATTGATCTTCGACTCAAAATATTAATCTAACACCTAAATCACTCATCAAAATCCATTAATTTACTAATTCATCCTTAATTAGCAATTTATTTCTTGATTAAAAGTTTAGGATGCTACAATTATTCCCCTCTTTTAAGAATTTAGTCTTCAAAATTCAAACACCCATATAATCACATACTTAGGAAAACATATGTGGGTATTATAACCTAATCTTGTCTTTTGTCTCTTAGGTAGCATCACTAGGGCCTATATCCTTCCAAAATACCTTTACTAGTTGAATAGTCTTGTTTCGAAACTACTTATCTTTCAAATCAACTATTCACTCTAATTTCACCTTATAGGTTATATTTTCTCGAAGTCCCACCTTTTATGGCTCAATAATATGGGATGGGTCTAGATGGTACTTTTTAAGCTGAGACATGTGAAACACGTCATGGATCCTAGACACATGTAACGGTAAGGCAATTCAATAGGTGATTGGCCCTATCTTCTCTAGAATCTCGAACGAACCAATGAATCTAGGAGTCAATTTCTTTGCTTTAATTAACCTCCAATTCCAATCAGGATGTAACTTTAAAAAACACATGATCACCTACCAAAAACTCTAATGGCCTTTTATGCTTGTCTACATAAAGTCTTCTACCTACTTTGTGTCATTAATAGTTTCTGCCTTATCATTTCTATCTTATGAGTCATATGATCCATAATGACTAGTCCTAAAATACTTCTATCACTCAATTCAGTCCAACATAAAGGTAATCAACACTTTTTCTCCTATATAACATCTTATATGGTGCCATCTAGATACTGGAGTGATATACCACGACATGTGGCGCAATAAGGAAAATCTCATTGAAGTACACCTGTTTCACTTGAACCAAAGTTCTTCCATTCAATCATAATCATACAATTAGTCATCAATCTAAAATATCAATCTAACACCTAAATGACTTATTAACTTAATCCATTAATTTACTAATTCACCATTAATTAGCAACTAGTTTTTGAATTAAAAGTTTAGGATGTTACAATCCTAAGCTGCTTTTCAAAGGAAGGATTTAATTTTCTCATGAGTAAGCCATTTCTAAATCTTGGACCAAATTTCAAAGCTAGCATTATCTTTATGGTTTTTAATAGCCTTGTAAGCATATTTAATTATGAAGCTACCATCAGTGAGAGGGCTTAAATAAAGGATATCATCATCTGCAATGGGATTTGGAGGTTAGACAAATGTGATGAGGTTGATAATATCTTATTGAAGATATCTCTATGATTGAGCTACTTTTCAACTGCTAGTAGTAAAGCAAAAACATGAAACTTTGGCATGAAAAACAAAATCAACTTTATGAAAGGCATACTTCATAAGAAGTTAAAAAGGGGAGACCATTTGTCATACCAGAAGAATATTATATCCTGCTTTCCAAGCTTCCAACCTATATGAGGTATAAACTAATCTTGAACTTTACAAATACTAGTCCACATGTAAGAAAAAGAGTTGGTTTTATAAACCATAGGAATGCTTCGTTTAATGCATTTATATTTGTCATGCAAAACTTAAACCTAAAGGCAGTTTGACTTAGTAATTATACCCCAATAAAGCTTCATAATGCAGGCCTTATTTTGACTTTTTAACTTTCTAAAGCCAAGACCTCCATAATTTTTATCCTTAATGATTTGATCCCAGGATAGAAGATGTGGTTTTTCAGTTCCATTAGTCAAGTCCC